TGGGAAATCTCCAGAGTACTCTGGAGTGGCCTCTTATGTTAACCGCTCCCTCCTATGTGAACTGATGGGAACTTGGGCCCAATGGCCTCTCTGTACTCCCACCTTGGGGGATTATCTTTAGGAAGATGGTGCAGATGCACTGTTGGCCTCCTCCTCCATGCGCACATCCTAGCATGCCAGCCAGGCCCTCTGAGCAGCTTCTTTGGCGCTCTCTTCCATCACATGGTTTCCCTTGCTTCTGTCAAGGTCCAGTTCACACAGTCCCCAGCCCTGTGTTAGGAGTCCCCCAACAGGGCTGTCACCTTGTCAGTGCGCATGCTCCCATGGCTCAGTACTGGCCTCACATACTCCAGAAAGGGGCAGCTTGCTGGGAACCAGACCCAGAAAAAACAATGGGAATCCCGGCGGGGCCAAACCTCTAAGCAGGCAATGTTTGCATATGATCAAATTCCAGCAGATTGGGAGGAATCAGGGCAGACTCCAGGCAGCCCGGTAGCAAGGGACTGGTGTGCTGAGTCACAGTTGCTGTTTGTTCTCATTCCCTTTGGGATTAACAAGAGAACCTGCTTGCCTTGTTTCAGCTCAGTTCCTGCAACCGACAGTCTGCTGGGCTCCAAGTCACCCAAGGGAGAGGCGAGGTAGGACCAAGGATGGAGGGGGAGGGGGGCAACAGCTACTCTCCTCAGGTTGGGGTGGCCCAGCCATCCAGGCTGGCCTGCAAGACTCTTATTACAGTCCTCTGGAGTGAGGGATATGGGCACAAGTAAAATGTACCCATGCCATGTGTGGGAGTAGGGCCAAGGAGAGTACTGGTGGAAAGCCTTTCATCTTTGCCACCCCCTCACATTACTCAAGGCAGGGATGGGATCTACCCAAGGACATGTGGTGATTAGGAGAAAGAGGGGGCAGGATTAAGATCTGCTGTCACCAGTGCCCGGTGAGGCCAGGACAAAGGGACAAGGGCTACCACCTACCTGTGGTCCCTTAGCCTCTTACTTCCTAAACCTAAATCACTGCTGCCTTTCATCTGGGTGGAAGGGATTTTGGCTTGAGTCGTGGCAGGGGTGGGCTACCCTGTCCCTCAATGGTTGTTGTGGGTTGCAGATCCACGTTAACTCTCCAAGGCTGGAGCACCTATCGTTAGCGGAGGCCAGCTAGCTGACTTATGGCTCCTGGGACAAAAGACCTAGTGGCTTCTGAAGCAAGCTGAGGATGAGAAACTAACTCAAAAGGCCCTTCCTCTTCCACCCTGGGGCTCTGTGAGTCACCATACTTTTGGGAGAATGCCAACATCATCATGACACAGCAAAGAACCTTATCAGGATAAGATGGAAGTCAGCCCTGAAATGAGCTAAAAAAAATAGAAAGCCTGGGGTTTTCAGGCCACTCTGCATACCACCCCAGCATTGGGATGGACCCCGAGTACCTCCTGTGCCCGGGGCACAGATGGGAAAACTGAGGCCCAGATGGATGAGGGCCCTGCAGTGGGCTTATGCGCTGATGTGGACAATTCACCTCCTCCCTGGCCCTGAGTGTCCGGGAGAGCCGCCCTCCAGCCTTGCTAGGTGCTATGATTGGGTCCTTCCCCACACCAGTCTGTAAGGCCAGAGCTTTCATGGTGGGCCAGGAAATGCCTCTTCTCGCTTCCTGTGAGGGTGGGAAGCTACAGCAGGGGTAACCTGAAGGGGCTCAAAGCTCATTGAGTAACTTCATGAAGCATGGTCAGGTGTTCCCAGGAAGGAAGCTGGGTGTGTGGGTGAGGGTTGGGCAAGGCAGCTAGGGAGGAAGCTGGGGCAAAGGATGGCCATTTGGGTTCAGCTTGCCCCTAGGATGTTCTGCTTGCTCAGGCTCCAGGCCTGTTGGCTCCTAGCTTCCTTTTGGTTTTTAGGCCACAGTGAGCTCGTTCTCAACTTAGGGCTTTGGGTACTTGCCCTCTCAGCCTTCAACTGCAGCTTTGATCTCCACGCTCTTTTCTTGCAGTCTGTGTGTTCTAGGAGCTGGGGACACAGGGGGCCATTTGTGGCTAGTCCCAGGTGCTCCTTTGATCTCTTATTGTCTACTTACTCCCCTTTGGTCCCTGACTACCCAGTGGTCCCATGAGGAGGACGAGGATTGTGGCTGCTACAGTCAGAAAGGGGTATTTGAGTCAGGGACTCGTGGCTTATACCTGCAATCCTAGCTACTCAGAAGGCTGAGGTTTGAGGATCATAGTTTGAAACCAGCCTGGGCAGGAAAGCCTGTAACACTGTCTTCTCTAGTTAAGCACCAAAAAGCTGGAAGTAGAAGTGTGGCACAACTGGTAGAGATCCAGCCTTGAGCTGAAGAGCTGAGGGACAGCGCCCAGACCCAGAGTTCAAGCCCCATGACCAACAACAACAACAACAACAAAATAAATAATAAAGAGCATGAGGCCCTGATTTTAAGCCTCACTACTGGCACACAATAAAACAACAAAGAAACAGGTCACTGAAACTTGATCACTACATGTTGAATGAATGAACAACTGGAGAACTCACTGGCTTTACAGAAGAGCTGTATTCTGCCTACCTCCTGCACTGAGTGAGGTATCAGGCCAGAGCAACTCTGGGAGCTGCCCATGCAGTAGGAACCCATTCTGGTCCAGCCCCCTCTGGCGGGGGTGGGGGGAAAGGGAGAAACAAACAATGGAGCTCTTCAGAAGATCCTCAACCTTCCCCCACTCCCCTCGGCCAGAGCAGAGCACTTCCCATATCTCTGCTCTGGAACCCTCTGGTTCTTACTTCCAGAGCAGAGGAAAGCAAAGGGGAAGGGAACCCTACCGACTACAATGATAGTTACCCAAACCCAGGCCAGTGAGAGCTCACACAATCAGCCTGGGGCAAAGCCTAGTTTGCTAGGTGAAAGACTGCCCTTCACATAAAGTCAGAATATTTGTTCCAGGTCACACAACAAGCTGGGATACTCTCAATGAGGAGTCTAAGAGTTGAGGGCTTGGAGTTGTTCCATTATTTTATCCTCCCTAGACCGAAGGTTAGACTCCTAGGTCCTAAAGTTTGTGGCTGCTACAGTTATAGCTCCTTAAAAGGGACCAGGCAGCAATCAGGATTGAGGCCAAGCTTGTCCCCGCTTTGTGCTGTGACTGGGTACCTCCCTTGGGTCTTAGAGTTTTAAAGATTTAAAGGAAGCACCCTTATAGCAGCAGAGCCCTTCTTCCTTGCTTGCTTCCTCATTCCTTTGGTTAAGTTCTCTTTTCCCAGTTCTGATCAGAATACAAAGGTGGCAGAGAGCAGGATTGGTAAAAGGAGCGACATATTCTATATTAATAAAAAATACCATTTCTTAAGAATTGAGGGGGTCAGAATGTGGAAGGTGCTGAGCCACAGGTTTTTAAGAGCTCTCTAGCTCTTGAGCAGAAGCTCAAGATTATATAATCAGGCTGGGTTGGTAGTGCATGTCTGTAATCCCATATACAAAAGAGGCAGAGATGAGTGAACAGAGGTTTGAGGTCAGCCTGGGAAAAAAATGTTAGCAAGATCTTATCTCAAAAAACAAGCTGAGCCAGGCACGGGTGGGTCCTGCTTGTAATCCTAGCCACGAAGGAGGGGAGATCTGAGGATCATGCTTTGAAGCCAGCCTGGGCAGAAAAGTCCATGAGAATCTTACCTCCAACTAATCAGTAAAAAGCCAGAAGTGCAACAGTGGCTCAACTGGTAGAATTTGAGCCTTGAGCAAAAACAGTTAAAGGACAGTGTCCATGTCCTGAGTTCAAGCCCTAGTACTAGCACACACAAAATCCTCCCATCCCCTTCCCTCTGAAAAGAAACCCCTAAGCCAGGCATACTCTTATGCTCCTGTAATTCTAGCTAGTGGGAGGCAGAGGTGGGAAGACCATGGTCCAAGGCTGGACCGAGGTGAGAACCTATCTGAAAAATAAAGCAAAAAAGGCTGAGAGTGTGATTCATTTGCTTACAAGTATAAGGCTATGGGTTCAAAGCCCAGCACCTCAAAAAAATTCACAATTAGTTAATTGTGAAGACAGATTAGCAAATTCTTGGGCACTTCCCAAGTTAAAAAGGAAAGTAAGCAAGCTGGGTCCTGGTAGCCTATGCCTAATCCTAGAAACTTGGGAGGCTAAAATCTGAGGATTGTGGATCAAAGACAGCCCGGGGTAGAAAAGTCTGTGAGACTTTTATCTCCAATTAACCAGTAAAAATCAAGAAGTGGAGATGTGGCTCAATGGCAGAGAAGCAGCCTTGAGTGAAAAAGCCAAGTGAGAGCCCAACGCCCTAATCCAGCCCGAGTAACGGCACACATTCAAAAAAGGAAAGTACGTGATTGAGACTGCCCAGTCTCATCAGACTCTGCACTTGTGTTTCTACCTCAAGCACACAAAGGAGGGTGATCTAGTCTGGGTCCCAAACTCTACTAATGTCACCCTCCTGGCTTTGTCATGTACCATCAACTGCTACATTTCTGCCTTTGCAGAGATGGTCTTTTTGGTCTTTCTTATCAGAACAAAATGGCAATTGTGTCAGCTGAACAATTGTGAAGAGTGAAGCTCCTCAGGAGATTTCAGAAGATGTGGCAAAGGGGAAGTATTTGAAGAAAGTTTCAGTGTTCATCCCCAGGGAACTTCATACAGTTAAAGGTAGACAGGCAGAGAACAGAGCTCAGGTCCTGCCTGCCTGTGAAACTGATGGTGCCATTTGTCAAGGTAAAAGCAGGTTTGGAGACAATACAGAATGAACAGCAATCCCTTTTACCTCTCAGTTTTCCCCATTGACCAGGAAAAAGTCCCTTAGTTCCCTTAGTACCGGCAGCTCTAGGAGTCTGGTCTATAGTCAATAGATTGGGCACAGATTTCAGAAATGCTTCCCACCTACCCACATCCTAGGCAGTGCTGGGGTAATAACTGCACAAAATCGGCTGGGAAGGCTGAGGTACTGAGTGGGAAGTCTCTTGCATAGTAGTGCTACATTCAAAGCCAGACTTTTCAGATTTAGGGCCTGGGGGAGACTCACCGATGCACCCATGATGATAAATATGTGTGTATCAGTCTGGTGGAATGCATTGCCCTGGTACAGCTCTTCCCGCAGGATTCCACACACCTGGGTCCGGCTCAGGGCCACCTGCTTCTCCATGGTGCTCTCTGGTGGAAGAAAGGCTCGTTGACAAGGCAGAGGAACACAGAAGAGCACTGGGAAGTCGGCCTCCTCGAGGAAGTCCTTGGGGCTCTCAATTGGCAGATGATTGATCTCGGAAATCACTCGCTGGGGATCGCCAGGAATGGGGTGGGGGTGGGGGTGGGTGGGGGAGGAGGGTTGGTGGATTAGAAACTGTGGCTTCTTGGGCTCCAGCCACACTCTCCACGCTGCCTTCGTTCGGGGCGCACATTACAGAATTACTTAAAAGTATTAAGTGCGTGTCTGGTAAAGTGTCGATTGTGGATGGCTGGACAAAATCCTGCAAGGGCATCGCACTTCATGCGCAGGACCATCTAACTCTGGACTCTGCCGGAAACTCCACAATGAATTGCAGCATTTAGGATAGGAGCAGATGATGAAGTTCAGCTTTAGCGCTACTCCTGCCTAGCTAGCAAGGGGGGTGGAGTGGGTGGGAATCCTAGCACGTCTCTCTTTTCAGGATCTCATCCTCATGGGCCCCATGGGAAAGGTGTGAGGTACAAAGGGATGGGTTAAGACCCTTTCGATTCTGCTGCATTCCCAACCATGGCAAAATAGCCTGTTGTCAGAGAAACGTGCAGTGCACCAGGCCGCAGCACGCTTCTCCGCCGGTGCGATGCCCCGTTACCTGCGACTGGTTGCTGCTGATCGCGTCGCTCACCACCCCGGAGTGCACGGCTGTTTCCGGGGGCTCTGGCCCGCCGGCTCATTTAATGCGTGAGGGCGGGCGCTTAGACTGAGCTGACCCGCCTCAGGAGAGGCGCGTGGGGCGGGTCCTCGGTCCACACCACGAAAGTGGGCGGGACTGGGGCAGGTGCGCGCGCATCCCAGGACAAGCCTCTTGCACAATATGCGCAGCCCCACCGGCACCTGCGCCGCCCGCTAGCCCTCCCACCGCCTACTGTCCCGCCTTCTGCTGCCCCGCGATTACGACGGGTTGAGGGAGAGAGCTCAGCAGCGGGCAGTTTCTCGAGTAACCATTGACACCCTGGCCTCACCCTATGGTGCAGTATTCCCGCCAGCCCCCTAGCGGCCGAGCGCGCGCCCCTCTCGGAGGGCCCCACTTCCGCCGATATTTGGCCACGCCTCCCTCGTGCCTTGTGGGCGGTGCCTTCTGCAACCTGGTTTGGCTCCTTGGTCGGGACGGATCACGCAGTGGCAGGATGCTGCTGCCTGACGCTAGGGACTATGTAGGTGGAGACGTCCTAAGAGGTGGAGGGTGGTGTTTATCAGTGGAGAGCGCCCTGCTGGCCAGCCGAGACTGGCTGCCCCGGGCTTCCCTCTGGAGGAGGGTGCGGCATCGTAGTAGTCTTGCAGCTCTCGCCGCTAGTCTGTGCTTCAGGGGTCAGGGCGTGCATGTTTTACTTCCGGATCCCACGATTACGACACCGGAATCCGGAAGCGGGGGTTTCCACAGCGGAGAAGGGAAGGGCGACCTCCGCGTTTGGACTTTCTCGGAGCTCAGGGGCCGTAGGAGCTGAGAGGCCGCCGCTCCTACCCTCTTCACGTTCGACCGACGCTGCCGACAGGTGTGGTCTTCTCCCAAGACAGGGTTTTACCGGCGGGTCCCAAGTCCAGCCAATTTCTGCCCCATACTTCTTGAGCACCGGCTCAAGCGGACGGCGTCGGGACCCAGCGAGTGGGCACTGATTTCGCCGCTACCGCTTTAGCTTGTGACCGTACCCCTGGCGCGTGAACTCTTCTAGAACTCTTAGATTTTCCACTCACCAAACTCCGCCTCTTCTTCTGCCTCCTCTTCTCCCGTCCCCATCTACTCGTGTCTGTATAAAACTCGGGACCTCCCGCTCCTGCTTGGCTTTTTTCCATCAAGGTTGGCGCTCTACCATTTCAGTCACACCTCCAGTTTCTTTTCTTTTCCTCTCTCTCTTCTTCCTTCTTTCGAGACAGGGTCTCACTATGTAGCTCAGGCTGGCCTCAAACTCAAGATTTTTCTGCTTCAGTCTCCTGAGTGCAGGTGTGCTAACGAATGAATTATCGTGCCTGGCTTTTCATCACATTTGAGTGCTCTTGAGGTCTTCAAAGGCCTCAAAAGCTAAGCGTCTTTTTAAAATTATCTTTAAGGACTTGTAAAAAGAGGTTAGCAACCAACATGTCAGTTAATAACAGATGCATAGCTTAAATCATGTCCCTCACCTTATTTTGTTAAACAATTATTATCTGCCTTCCCTCACGTCATTTATTTGCGACCTGAGAATGAATGGATCATTCTGGCATATTCTAGAAACTGACAGCAGAACACTATGGTTGCAGTGAGGGCAGAATGGTTGGAGAGGAAGGAATAGGGGACCGGATGGTATAGAGCCCTTTTGGCTGTTTTAAGGACTGTAGCTTTTGAGAAGTGGGGAGCTATGTTAGGATTTGTGGGTGAAAATGTATATAATCTGGGTTAGGTTGATATTTTGGCTGCAGTGGGACAACTGACTAAGGCAGAAGGGTAGCAGCAGGGTGACCTGTTAGGAACTTACACAGGAATGCATGTAGAAGAGGATAGCTTTCTCAGATGTTTGCTATTCGGATGCTCTGCTCTGCCATTTGAGTTACACCTCCAGCCCTTTTTTGCTTTGTTATTTTTTGGAAACAGTTTTCTGGGTTGTCCTTAGACCTCAGTCTTCCTACTTACACACTCCCATGTAGCTGAGACCATAGGTAAATAACACCATGCTTGGATTATTTGTTCAGATGGGTTCCTGCTAACTTTTATCCTATGCTGGCCAAGAAATGTGACCCTTTTGATCTCAATTTCCCAAGTAGCTGGGATTACAGGCATGAGTCCCGGTGCCAGGCCCAAGAGCATTTTAGTATTAAAAAATTAAAATTGCACAAAATACGGGCTGGGGATGTGGCTTATGTAGTTGAGCACTTGTTGAGCATTCTAGATTCAATTTCTACTACTACAAAAATGCACAAAAATAGAAAGGTTAGTATAAGTAAATACCATGTATCCCTTTCCTGCCTTTAACAGTTATCAACTCATGACTAATTTTGTTTAATTTATACCCCTGATACTCTTCTCATTGTCTTCAAAATAGTTTTTTGATAGCTTTTTCAATTTATATATCACACAATTCACCTGTTTTAAGTATACAAATCAAATTATTTTTAGTACATTCACAGGGAGATGCAACTATCACGACCAATCCTAGAACATTTTCATCACGCCTCCAAAACTCTTGTATCATTTATCATCCCTCTAAATGTCCTTCCTTCCTTCCTCAACTGGATTTCTTTCTTTTCCTTCCCGTTCCTTTTTTTTTGCCCAGGACTGCCACTTGAGCCACACCTCCACTTCCAGCTTTTTAGTGGTTTATTAGAGGAAAGACTTTCCTGACTGTGTTATATTAGAATAGTGACCCTCCATTCTCAGCCTCCTGATTAGCTAGGATTACCTGTGTGAGCCATCAGTGCCTGGCTGTTTTGTACATTTCTTAGAAGTGTGATCATACAATATGTGGCCCTTTGTGACTTGTTTCTTTCTCAGCATAGTGTCTGGAAGATATGTTCATATTGTATGTGGTTGTACTAGATTTTATTTATTCATCAGTTTTTGGACATTTTAGTTGTTTCCATTCTTTGGCTGCCTTGACAGTAATGCTGCTTTGAGCATTCATATTTTCATTTCTCTTAAAGTATACTGCATTAGAGTTCTTCCCTTATTTTCACGCTATTTCTGTATACGTCTCTCAAATGCAGTACCGAAATAGTTAATGCTACAGCATTTCCTGATGGAGAGAGGGGTGGGGGGTGGGAGAGAGGGAAGGAGGAAGAGGAGGAGTGAGAAAGGGAAGGGGGAGAGGGAGGGAGAGAGAGAAAGCAAGAGGAAGAGAGAGAGGGAAAGAGGGAAGGAGGGAGAGGGAGAGATTGAGAGATGGAGGGAAGGAGGTGAAGAAGACCTCCCAAGTATTTTGTCCTTTTAACTGGAGAATGGTTTTGTTTTCAGCTGATAATAAAGGAGACTTGGTGGAGCTGGATTTGGGGGACTGTTAGTAGTTTTAGAATAGCTTTTTTCAGTGCTGATCTATGCTTGGCAAATACTCTACCACTGAGTTCCATCCCCCCCCCCCCCCCCCAGCCCTAGAAGGTCTCCGTCTACTAGTTATCTAAGTAGGCATTGAGTTTGATACGTCTGAAATTCAGGAAAGAAATCTGTTTTGGGGCAGGATGAGTATTAAGATTGGGGCTCAAGCCATCACACTGGATAAAACTATAGGAGTAAATATAATTAGGGGAGAGATGGATCCAGTAAAAGGGCCTGAGTAGAATCAGTCTGTGAGATAGGAGGGACATCAGGGGACTAGGTTGTTGTGGAAGCCAAAGAAAAGAAGTGCATGAAGGGAGTGAGAAGGATCAGCTGGGTCAGGGGCTGCAGATGAGTCTATGGGGGATTCAGTGGGACACTATCAGGGCTAATAGGCAAAATGGCCAAGTTTAGTTCACTCAATTGTAAATTAGTCTCACTTACTCCAGGCCTGATTCTGGAAGTTTACATTTGGATCAGCCTTTCCCTTGGGCTGCCACTGACCTGTGCAGTCTGCATGTAGATCACAAGTGAGCATAAACAGCTCAGCTTGTCCCTGCTCTGCTTCCCCAGACTGACAGCCCAGCTCCTACTTTCACATTCCTTCACACGTGTTGGACACGAGAACACCCCCGTCTCAAGAGAACATACTTCAGACGCAGTGTAGTCTTCTTGAAGCCTTCTTTCTAAGTGTTTGAGTTTGTGCTTGCTGTAAGGAATGACTACAAGTTTGGTAGCTTAAACAAATGGAAATTTAATCTCTCACAATTCTGGAGGTTGGAAGTCTAATAAAATCAGTATAACAAGGCCACATTTCTTCTTCATAGGATCTCTTCAGCTGTATATTTCCTTCTGTTCTCTCTCTCTCTCTCTCTCTCTCTCTCTCTCTCTCTCTCTCACATCTGAGGGTTGAGGTTTGAAACCAGCACAGGCAAAAAAAAATCCCCAACAGGGCTTGCTTAGTGGTAAAGTGTTTGCCTAGTGTGCATAAAGTCCTGGCTTCAACTCCTTAGTATCACATATACACAGAAAAAGCCGGAAGTGGCACTATGGCTCTAGTGGTAGAGTGCTACCCTTGAGCAAAAGAAGCTCAGGCAAAATCACAAAATGCTGAAACAAGGATACAGGTTTTTTAGTATATACCTTTTTAAAATATATACTTTTTTATTGTAAAGATACTGTACAGAAGGGTTATGGTTATACTAGTAATGAGTACAACTTCCTATCGAGCATTGTTACTCCCTCCTTTGTTTTTCCCCTAACATCCCTTCCCTCCCACCTCCCAAACTCCTCCCTCCCTCCCCCCCCAGTTGCAAAGTTCGTTTTCAGCATAACATAGTGTCTTGAACATTTCATTGTTACAATAGGTCAACCTGTATCCTTATTTCATCATTTGGTTATTTCCCTTCCCCTTCCCAATTTAGAAAAATGTATAAACAAGATGCAGGGCACCAGAATCAAATACAGTGAAAACGGGTTATACCATGGGAGAAGAACATACAAAAGAAACAAAAAAAATCACATAGTACATTATAATTACATTAAAAACAACAGTAAGAAAGATAAAACCTCTTGTGTCCCTATCTTGGGGTTCATTTTGCTTAGTATCATCTTTTATGGTCATATGTACAGAGCTTTTGAACTTTTCTGCTTGTCCTAGACATATACTAGTTATTTAGGCTTAAACTCTTTTTTTTGGGGGGGGGGGGTCCGGTCATGGGGCCTGAACTCTGGGCCTGGGCGCTGTCCCTCAGCTCTTCAGCTCAAGGCTAGAGCTCTACCACTTGAGCCACAGCGCCACTTCCAGCTTTTTTCTTTTTGCTTATGTGGTGCTGAGGAATCGAACCCAGGGCCTCAGGCATGCAAGGCAAGTGCTCTACCACTGAGCCACCTTCCCAGGCCTAGGCTTAAACTCTTGATCCTCCTGCCTCAGCCTCCCAGATGCTGAGGTTACATGTATACGCTACCACATTCAACTCTCTTCACGCTTAGGAGATAGGGTTACATGTTATCATATTAAGATCCTTGCGGCTGGGAAGGTGGCTCAGTGGTAGAACGCTTGCCTTGCATGCCTGAGGCCCTGGGTTCGATTCCTCAGCACCACAGAAGCAAAAAGAAAAAATCTGAAGTGGCGCTGTGGCTCAAGTGGTAGAGTGCTAGCCTTGAGCTGAAGAGCTGAGGGACAGTGCCCAGGCCTAGAGTTCAGGCCCCACAACCGGACCCCCCCCCCCCAAAATCCTTAATTTACATCTTCAAAGACAATTTTGCCAAATAAAGTCACATTCATTATTTCCAGGTGCTAGGACTTGATATATCTTTTGGGGGCTATCGTTCATCCTATTACACTAGGTTAAGAGGCCAGGACCTTCCATTTCTCTTTCTTGGGTGTGTGTAGGACATAGGATTCCCAGTACACTGATGTACTGGTCTTCTCCTTTTAAAATGTTAGTGTTTGCCATCTTTTAATCCAAAATCCCATTTTAGCACCTGATTACACTAGACAAACTGGTCCACTGGTTCGTATTCCACTCAGAATGCAAGCCTAGCATGTCTGCACAGAGTAACTCCTCCAGGCAGGTAAGAAAATTATGTGTGGTATCATGTGATGTCCCTATTGCCTTTCTCTTCTAGACACTGACTTGTTGGATGAGCAGGCACCTCTGGAAGAATCAGTTGTGTGAGATGGTGCAACCTAGTGGTGGTCCTGTAGGGGACCAGGACATGCTAGGTGAAGAGTCTTCTCTGGGGAAGCCAGCCATGCTACATCTGCCTTCAGAGCAGGGCACCCCTGAAAGCCTCCAACGCTGTCTGGAGGAGAATCAAGATCTCCGAGGTAAGTATATAGATCTGTGTGTAAGAGGAGGTGCAGTAAAAAGTCAGAAGGTCTACTTTTTTTGTTGTGTGGTATGGGGTTTAAACTCAGGGCCTCATTCTCTCTTACCTTGCTTATTTGCATGCTTAGTTGGTACTCTACCACTTGAACCATGCCACCATACCTGCTTCTTGCTGCTTATTTTGGACATGGAATCTCACAGACTCATCTGCCTAGGCTGCCTTCAAATCATGATCCTCCTCAGTATGTAAAATTACAGGCATGAGCCACCAGTACCTGTCAGGAAGTCCATTCTTGCTGGAGGGAGAGCTTACCCTCCTAATTGCACCTCTTGTTTGCTGGGTCTCTGGTGGGCACATGCCTAGAACCACATAGCATTTCAAACTTAGCTGCCTTCTCACTTGGTTTCAGGTTGTTTCCTCCAAGTAGGCTCTGGTGCACAGTAGCCTGCAGGAAATACATTTAGAGTGCTCTCAGGACCAGTTTTGGGAAGAGAAGAATGAGAAGAGTAGAAAGGAGCAGGGATGGATCATGGGAGAAGACATAATCTTCTTTGAGAAGAGGCGTGGTCTTTCCTGGGAAAAGCTTACGACTTCCTTGGGAAAGGGTGTAGCTCCTGGAAAGGGGTCAGCTGGCTCAAGGACAGTCCTGGCAGAGGCTTCAGCTGAAAGATTTGTCCTATGGAAGCTGGGGACTGGGTTCTTTCCTTAACTGTCATCTGTGACATTGGTACATGCTCATTGACTAGTCTGTTGAGAGGAGGACCAGCTATTCTTTGGGTTTGTCTTTGGTATTGGGCATCCTTTCTATTTCTCACGCCACTCTTCATCTTGAAAGATGGGTGTTATAGTCCCAGTTGAATATGTAACTGAGAGTGTTAAACTTCAGAGCAGCTGCTAATTTGCTCTGTCAGCACCCTTCTGGATTTCCCATACTGCTGCCCCACCTGCTCCCCCTTGCCCCCATCTGCAGGCATGTTTTTGAACCTGCAGAGATACAAACCTGGTAAAACTGGGACTGAGTTCCCCAGGGTGGGCACTCCTTGGACTGACCAGAACTTGAATGAAATCTAGTCACTTAACAAAACAAGTGGTATTTGACACATTTTTTTTTTCTGGTGCCAATCCTGGGGCTTGAACTCAGTGGCTGGGTGCTGTCCATGAGCTTTTTTTGCTTGAGGCTAGCACTCTACCACTTGAGCCACAGCACCACTGGCTTTTTCTTAGTAGTTTATTGTCTCACAGATTTTTCTGCCTGGTCTGGCTTAGAACTGCAATCCCTAGATCTCAGCCTCCTGAGTATTTAGGATTACAGTCATGTGCCACCAACACCCAGCTTGACATATCCTTTGCAGTGAGGCGAATTAATTTGTTTAGTACTACATTATCGAAATTGAAGGCTATATCATTACTGTCATTGATTTGAAAGTGTTAAAGAAATAAAGAGTGTTGGGGCTGGGAAGGTGGCTCAGTGGTAGAGCTCTTGCCTTGCATGCATGAGGCCCTGGGTTCGATTCCTCAGCAGCACATAAGCAAAAAGAAAAAAGCCGAAGTGGCGCTGTGGCTCAAGTGGTAGAGCGCTAGCCTTGAGATGAAGAGCTGAGGGACAGCGCCCAGGCCCAGAGTTCAGGCCCCACGACTGGACCAAAAAAAAAAAAAAAGAAATAAAGAGTGTTGAGAAGCCATTTATCTTGGGGAGAGGACCCAAGTTTTATGATGGTGGGCCAGCTTTGGGCTTTGGACCTCATAAGTCTTAGGCTTGGATGGATCTACACAGTAGCTAGTGGGCCAGGCTGCCTGGCTGCCAGGACTTACCTCTTTGTTGTCTCCTGTGTCCCCAGATGCCATCCGTCAGAGCAACCAGATGCTGCGGGAGCGCTGTGATCAGCTGCTCCATTTCCAGGTCAGCCAGAGGGAGGAGAAGGAGTTCCTCATGTGCAAATTTCAGGAAGCCAGGAAGCTGGTGGAGAAACTGAGCCTGGAGAAGCTTAACCTAAGGAGACAGAGGGAGCAGGCCATGCAGGAAGTTGAGCAGCTGAAGAGATGCCAACAGGTAGCTGGTGGGTCTGGCAGGGGCTTTCACCCACATGTGGTTGGAAAACTACAGGGAAACTATTATTCCCACAAAGCCTGAGGTCACAGGTCTCTCAGAGCATCCTCAGGCTTGCTTCTCTGGGAGACTCACCCATAGAGGATCACCATTCAGTTCATGACAGTGAAAGGATGCAGGTTAAGATCAGCCAAAGTACCAGCTCCTTAGGACAGAGGTGAGGAGAGGCCACACGCGCGAGATTCCGGTGCCTCCTTTGAAGTGGTGCTTGTGCTTTCAGTGGTGTGGGGCAGTGTGTATAGTACCATAAGTCTGGAAACTCACCAGGGCTCTGGGGTCCGGGATACCATGTGCTCCAAGGCCCCCACCTGTATCATAATACCAGTACAGAGTACCTGGCAGGGCTCCAGGCCCCAGGTAAACATGAACACAACACTCTCCTCAGGGAGGATTTGACGAGGATTTTCGGGGAACCAGGCAAGGACCCAGATCTGCCTTGAGGGGTGGAGGATGTGGCCTCAAGGCCTGTGAGTTGTCCCTGCGCTATACTGTTCCCAAAGGATGGCATACCTAGTGTGTGCTGAGGACATGTTTCAGGGCCTTTGTGGTTCAGCTGGTCTCAGGACCTTGGCAACAGTAATTGAGCAGGGCTTGTGCTGTCTGGAAGGATGAAGTAGGGAAGAGCGGAGAGGACTTGACACAGTTGGGTTCTTGGCCCTGGAGTCAAGATGTGCACTGTGGGGCTGAGGGGCCAATGTGCCTGACTGCTGGGAGTGCCTTGTTTAATGTTTATTTGCCATTTGGTTAGGTGCATGAGTTTGTTAGGGCTGCCAAAACAAAGTACCACATGCTGGGGTGCTTAAACAACAGATGTATTGTCCCCCATTTCTTAAGGCTAGAGAGCCAAGATCAAGGTGCGATTAGGGTGAGTTCCTTCTGTGGGACGTGAGAGAGAAACTATTCAAGGCTCTCTTCCCAATGTCTGGTGGCTCCCAGCAGTTCTTGGCACTCATTGGCTAGTAATTGCATCTCTCCAGTCTCAGCCTCTGTTGTCCTGTGGTTTTCTACCTAGGTGATTCTTCACCTGTTTTTATAAGGACACTAGTGTCAAGTGTAAACAAAGGTAGATATTTGTTAAAAACTGCAAAAACAGATTTTGTTCAGTAACTAAAGACTGTGACAGTAGGAAAAGAACTGAAGCTGTACTTCTGTGTGTATGTGTTCCAGATCTAGGGCTTAAACTCAGGGTGAAGTGCTGTTCCTGAGCTCAAAAAATTAAAAAATGTTATTATAAAGGTGATGTTCAGAGGGGTTACAGTTACATAAGTCAGTGTAATGGTACCTCTTCCCTAGCTCTCCTAGTTTCTCCCTCCCTATCTCTGAGCTTTTATGCTCAAGGGCTAGTACTCTTTAACATTTGAGGTGCAGCTCCACTTTTGTCTTTTTTTGGTGCTTAATTGGAGATAAGAGTCTCACAGACTTTCTGCCTGGGTTGGTTTCCAACCATGATCCTCGGATCTCAGCCTCCCAAGTAGTTAGGATTATAGGCATGAGCCACCAGTGCCTGTAATGAAACTCTATACTGATCTACAGAGGTGACTGGATGTTTTGAAGGGACAACGGGCGCCTGGGTACAGCTCAGTAATAGAACATGTGCTCAGCATTTATGAGGCCTGGAGTACCATCAAAAATAAAAAATAAGTTGGGTGTGGTGGCATATACCTAGATTCTGAACTACTCAGAAGTGGAGATAGAAGAATCTTGGTTTGAGTCCAGTCTGGGCAGAAGTTACTCAAAATAAGCTGTGGAAGTGGAGGTATGGCTTAAGTGGTAGAGCTCCAACTATATGGGACAAACTGTATGTTGGTACACTCCCATGGTCCTAGCTTCTCCAGAGAAGGAGGTAGGAACAGCATGGTCTAAGGTCAGCCTGAGCAAAAGTGTGACACCCTGTCTGAAAAGCAAACTAAAAGCAAAAGCACTAGGTGGCATGGCTGACATGGTAAAGTACTTGCGTCTCAATCATGAGGCCCTGAGTTTAATCTCTAATACCCCCAAAACAAAGTAAATAAATAGAAGGAGAGAGGGAGTGGAGCAAGGGCAGGGGCTCAAGTGAAAGGTGACAAAGGGTGTCACTATCAATATGATGAGGCTACTATGTCTCCCAGGAAGCATGAATCAAAGTTAGGATTCTATCTTCTTTTTTTGTGCTGATACTGGGGCTTGAACTCAGAGCCTCACGCTCTTTTATTTTATTTTATTTTTTTTGTTGGTTGTGGGGCTTTTGAACTCTGGGCCTGGTACTGTCCCTGAGCTCTATAGCTCAAGGCGAGTGCTCTACCACTTGAACTACAGCGCCTCTTCTGGTTTTCTGGAGGTTTATTGGAGACGAGAGTCTCATAGACTTTCCTGCCTGGGCTGGCTTTGAGCCAGTTCTCAGCCTCCTGAGTAGCTAGGATTACAGCTGTGAGCCATCAGCGCCCAGCTAGGGCCTCACACTCTTACTTGGCTTTTTCACTCAAGACTGGCTATTACTTTAGCCACAGCTCCACTTCCAGCATTTTGCTAGTTAATTTGAGGTAAGAGTCGCACAGACTTTCCTGCCTAGGCTGGCTTCAAACCAAATCCTCAGATTCTCAATCTCCTGAGTAGCTAGGATTATAAGTATGAGCCACCAGAGCCTGGCAGAATTCTATCCCCTTTTCGTGCCTGTTCTGTAGCTTGAACTCATGGCCTGGGCACTGCTCCTGAGCTTTTGTGCTAGGGTTCTACTACTTGAGTCACAACTCCAGCCTTTAAAATATATATAATTTTTTACTTTTTTCCTTGTATTTACTATTTTTTATTGCTATTATAAAGGTGATGTACAGAGGGGTTAGTTACTTAAGTGAGGTAGTGAATGTATTTCTTTTTGGACAATGTCATGCCCACTTTAGCCTTTTTGGGTGGTTAACTAGAGATAAGATTTTTCTGCCTGGACTGGCTTTTGAATTTTGATCCTCAGATTTCAGCCTCCTGAGTAGCTAGGATTTTAGGTTTGAGCCTCTTATGCCTGGCAGGATTGTATCCTCTTAAGACTGAGGGATCCTTCTTGATGATTTCCACTTCAAAGGAATAACTCTCAGGTCCTTGAGACAGAGGCAATTGGAGTGTAGGAGAAATGCAGACAGGAAGGGTTCACAACTGACCGTCTTCTCAGTAAATGCTTCAGGAAAGGTCAAGGGCCTATGTGAGGTCTCAGGTCTATGCCTTTTTTTTTTGTCGGCTGTGGGGCTTGAACTCTGGGCCTTCGTGCTCTCCCCGAGCTCTTCAGCTCAAGGCGAGCGCTCTACACTTGAACCACAGCACCACTTCTGGTTTTCTGATGGTTAATTGGAGATAAGAGTCTCATGGACTTTCCTGCCCGGGCTGCCTTTGAACTGCAATCCTTAGATCTCAGCTTCCTGAGCAGCTAGGATTACAGGCGTGAGCCACTGGTGCCTAGCAGGTCAGCAGGTCTATGTCTTAATAGCCCTCAGCATTTTTTTAAGCATTTGAGCATTTACAAATAGGAATTGGGTGGGAGGGCCTAGAACTTTTGAGGAATGTACTTAGGCTGCTTGTAGCCATGTTAAAGTTTGATCCGATCTCTTAGTTTAGGGTTGAATAGAACATTTTGCAATTCTCAGAAATTAAAAGATTTAGGCTGGGTGCCAGTGGCTCATTAATCCTGGCTACTCAGGAAGCTGAGATCTGAGGATTGCAGTTCTAAGCCAGACCAGGCAAAAAGTCTGTGAGACTCTTATCTTCAATAAACTACTAAAAAAAAAAAAAAGCTGGAAGTAGAGCTGTGGCTCAAGTGATAGAGCACTAGCCTTTAGCAAACAAAGCTTAGGGACAGAACCCAGGCCCTGAGTTCAAGTCTCAGGACTAGCATATGCAAAAGGAAAAGATTTAGTATTCATTCTTGCTCTGAGAAACCTGTTTCCCTTGTCCCTAGGTGTGTAGACTAGGCCTGTATTTTTCTTCACTGAGTATTTTTTGTTGGTCATGGGGCTTGAACTCTGGGCCTGGGCGCTGTCCCTCAGCTCTTCAGCTCAAGGTTAGTGTTCTGCCACCTGAGCCACAGACCACTCCCTCTTCACTGAGTTTAGAGGCTAAGAGGTATACAGTGATGGTGCCCCTGCTACATGATATGTTAGTTCCGCGTTTTTAGGTCTAGTGACCAGTCAGTGGCTGAGCTGTCAGCCACTGCAGAAGTCCTTAGGTATCTCTATGCTCCTGGGTTTCTTTTTTTTGGGGGGTCCAGTTGTGGGGCCTGAACTCTGGGCCTGGGCGCTGTCCCTCAGCTCTTCAGCTCAAGGCTAGCACGCTACCTCTTGATCCATAGCACCATTTCTGGCTTTTTTTTCTGCTTATGTGGTGCTAAGGAATCGAACCCAGGGCCTCATGCATGCAAGGCAAGCGCTCTACCACTGAGCCACCTTCCCAGCCCCTGCTCCTGGGTTTCTTAGGGGCCTTGTGTTCCCCTATCCACAAAGATGAGGAAGGAGGGGCTCGGAAGGTGGTTCAGTGGTAGAGTGCTTGCCTTGCATGCACGAGGCCCTGGGTTCAATTCTTGAGCACCACATGAGCAGAAAAAGCCAGAAGTGGTGCCATGGCTCAAGTGGTAGAGCTCTAGCCTTGAGCTGAAGAGCTGAGGGACAGCGCCCAGGCCCAGAATTCAGGCCCCACGACCAACAACAACAAAAAGATGAGGAGGGAGCCTAGGGGTATGGGTAATTGGGACTCAGTCTTCTTCCATTGCTCATTGTCCTGCTGGATCAGGCAGCAGCCTTGGGAGAGGAGGCAGTGAGTGGAGACTAGGAAATGCATCTCAGCCAGCAGTGACAGTTGAGGTAGGTGACTGGGGAAGGTCAAGTGGCCATTGGGCTCACGAGGCCCTGGGGTACATGGGTTTGGGGTTGATGAATGCAGACAAGAAACCCTCAGGGTACATCTGTCCCAGTTGCTTGTAGGCTAGAAATGGGCAGCTGGGGAGAAAGCAGCACTGACAGGAAGTGACCTTTCCTTCTGCAGCAGATGGCTGACGACAAGGCTTCTGTGAAAGCCCAGGTGACATCATTACTGGGGGAGCTCCAGGAGAGCCAGAGTCGCCTGGAGGCTGCTACCAAAGAACTCCAGGCTTTGGAGGGCAGGTGAGTGGGGAAGGAATGCCTGTCATGGAGGCTCCAAGAAGGCTCCATGGATTTTTCTCTGAGAGGATGGAAGCAGTTACTGCATGTACACTGGTGCTTTCAGGGTTGGTTGGAAGAGTTCTAACCTAATCATTGAGGACCTGGGTCCCAGCTCTTGTCACCAGGTTCTCTGACTCTGCTGGAGATTGGGTTATTTCGTTAGGAGACGTTTTAGGGAACCCTAAAGCCACATGTAAGACTTAGGTTTGTCCAATGGGTACTTGGTAGGATCCACCCTAGTAAAGACTGGGGAAGGTTGTCTTGCCTGTTAAGGAGCACAGAGAACAATATCTCCCACTTAAGCCATTTTTTCATACATAGATATTATTCATTCTCCATTATTCTATTTTCCACCCTCTTCCTGCTCATCCCCCTTGAAAACAATGCTATAGTTACAATCAAATTCTATACAATTTGATGCGTGCGCATGCATGTGCACACATACATGTGTCTACATATACATAGCTTAGCTTGTTTCATTGAATATGATGATCTCTAGTTCTACTTTCTTGCAAGTGCCATGACATTTTTTTTTTGTTGGCCATGGGGCTTGAACTCAGGGCTTAGGCACTGTCCCTGAGCTTTTCCACTCAAGGCTAGTGTTCTACCACTTTGAGCCACAGCATCTCTTCTAGTTTTCTGGTGGTTACTTTGAGATAAGAGTCTCGTGGACTTTCCTGCCTGGGATGGCTTTGAAATACGACCCACAGATCTCAGGATCTCAGGCTCCTGAGTAGCTAGGATTATAGACGTTAGCCAGTGGTGCCAGTGTTATTTTTCTTTATGGGTAATATTCCATGATCTGTATGTATATGTTCACTATATTTTATCAGTTCATGGGTTGTTGGATATCTTGGCTGAAAAAGCCCAGCGAAAGCATGAGGCCTTTTAAATATTGGGTCCTATAATTTGCAAATAGGGATAATTTAACTCCTCCATTTGAATCCTTGTTTCTTTTTTTGCTTAATTACTCTGGCTAGGAATTATAGTACTTTACTGAATATGAGTGGAGGATTAGACACCATTGTCTTGTTTCTGACTTCAGAGGAAATGTTTTTTTTTTTTTTTTTTTTTTGGTCTTGGGGCCTAGGTGCTGCCCCTGAGCTTTTTCACAAAAGGCTAGCATTCTACTACTTTGAGCCACAGCACTACTTCCAGTTTTCTAGTGGTTAATTGGAGATGTCTCACAGACTTTCCTGCCCAGGCTGGATTTGAACTGTAATCCTCAGATCTCAGCCTCCTGAGTAGCTGGGATTATAGGTGTGAGCCACTGGCACCTGGCTGATTTATGTTTTTCCCTGTTCAATATGATGTTGCTTATAAATTTGTCATTTATACCTTTATTATGTTCATGTACATTCCTTTTATTCCTAGTTTCTTCAGAGTTTTTAATCATAAAAGGGTGTTGAATTTTTTCAAAGGTCTTTTTCTGTGGTAGCTGAGATGATCATGTGATTTTTTGATTGTGTTGCTGTATTATGTTTATTGATTTACATATATTGAACGACTTCGCTTACAGCCAACTTGATCATGGTATATGTTGTTGTTTTTGGCAGTAATAGGGACTGAAACTGTGGCCTTGTGCTTGCTAGGAAGGTGCTCTCCCTCTTGAACCATGCCTCCAACCTCTTTTTACATTATTATTTTTTGGTGCTAGTCCTGGGACTTGAACTCAGGGCCTGGGTGTTGTCCCTGATCTCTTTGGCTCAAGGCTAGTGCTCTTCCACTTGAGCCACAACTCACCTCTTAGCTTTTTTGTAGTTAATTGGAGATAAGAGTGTCACAGACTTTCTTGCCTGGGCTGGCTTCAAACCACAATCCTCAAGATTGCAGCCTCCTGAGTAGCTAAAATTACAGATGTGAGCCACCAGTGCCTGACTATTTTAATTATTTTTTGTTTTCATTTATTTATTTTGCCAATCCTGGGGCATGAACTCAGGTCCTGGGCACTGTCTCTGAGCCTCTTTTGCTCAAGGCTAGCACTCTACCACTTGAGCCACAGTGCCACTTCTGGCTTTTTCTGTTTATGTGGTACTGAGGAATGGAACCCAGCTTTTCATGGATGCTAGATAAGCACTCTACCACTAAGCCATATTCTCAGCCTACATTATTTTTGAAGTAGAATCTTGCTTTATGCCTGAGAAACTCTTGGCTTTGATCCTCCTATTTGTGCTTCCTGTGTCACACGGAATTGGATGGGATGACAGTTGGGTGCCACTACTCCCAGCCATTGACCAAGATACTGTCTCTTGAACTGTTTTTTCCTAGTTGGCCTTAACTTCAGTCCCCTGAACTCTACCTCCAGATAGCTAGTATTACAGACTTTTAAGCAACTCTTCCCAGCTAATCCTTTTATTTTAATTAATTAATTTATGCATGCATGTGTGCTGGTAGTGGGTCTTGAACTTCAAGCCTCTTGCTCTCAATTGGCTCGTTTGCTTGACGCTAGTGCTCTACCACTTGAGACATACTTCCACTCTGGCTTTTTATTGCCTAATCAAGGATGAGAGTCTCAGGGATTTGCCAGCTTGGGATAGCTCTTAATCTCCTTTCTCAGATCATAGCCTCCATAGTAGCTAGAATTATAGCTATGAGCCACCTGTGCTTGGTTCTGGCTGACCTTTTTAATGTTTTATTAAATTTGGTTTGCAAGTATTTTATTGAGAAGTTTTGGGTCTATGTTTATCAAAGAGATTGCTCTATAATTCTCTTTTTTTGTTGTGTACTTGTCCACACAGACTGTTTCTGCATTAGGGATACCTTATCTACTAAGACTCAGCACCTTGCATTTCTGTTGGGAATGCTCATTAGTGCCTTCTGCCAGGCACATACCAACATTCCTGACTTCTAGGAAAACAAGCAGGTTCTCTGTGTAGGCTTCACTGTATGAACAATTCAGACAGGGAGAGTGTCACAAGCAGCACAGGGAACTTATAGCAGCCCAGGGCCCACTTTGCAGATATGTGGCTTAAGGCCTGCTACTTACTCTTTTGCAAAGCAGTTTTGGTTGCCATAAGTGGGATCATTGGGTGAAAGGTCAGGGATGCCGTTGTGATTTTTTTTTTCTTTTTGTCAGTCATGGGGCTTAAACTCTGGGCCATGGCACTGTCCCTGAGCTCTTCAACTCAAGGCAAGTGCTCTACCACTTGAGCCACAGCACCACTTCTGGTTTTCTGGTGATTAATTGGAGATAAGAGTCTCCTGGACTTTCCTGCCTGGGCTAGCTTTGAACCTTGATCCTCAGATCTCAGCCTTCTGAGTAGTTAGGATTACAGGTGTGAGCCACTGGCACCCGGCGCCATTGTGATTTTCTTTTCTTTTTTTAAATTAATTTTTTATTCAATATATATTTTTAATTGTAAAGATACTGTACAGAGGGGTTACAGTTACATGAGTAAGGTAATGAGTACATTTCCTATCAAGCTTTGTTACCCCCTCCTTTGTTTATCCCCTACCATCCTTTCCCTGCCCACCTCTCCAACTCTTCCCCCGCCCCAAGTTGTAAAGTTCATTTTCAACGTAGTGTCTTGTACATCTCATTGTTACAGTGGGTCAACCTGTATCCTTATTTCAGCATTTTGTTATTTCCCTTACCCTCCCCAAATTAGAAAAATGTATATACAAGATGCATGGCAAACTGGGCACTGGTGGCTCATGCCTGTAATCCTAGCTACTCAGGAGGCTGAGATCTGAGGATCCTGATTCAAAGCCAGCCTGGGCAGGAAAGTCCATGAGACTCTTAACTCCAGTAAACCACTAGAAAACTGGAAGTGGCGCTGTGGCTCAAGTGGCAGAGTGCTCGCCTTGAGCTGAAGAGCGCAGGGACAGCACCCAAGCCCAGAGTTCAAGCCCCACGACGGATCAAAAAAAAAAAAAAGATTCAGGGCACTAGAATCAAATACACTGACAACAGGGGTTATACCATGCGGGAAGAACGTACAAAAGAAACAAAAAAATCACATAGTACATTATAAGTATATTAAAAGCAACATCAAGAAAGATAAAACCTCTTGTGTCCCTATCTTAGGGTTCTTTTTGCTTAGCATCATCTTATATGGTCTTATGTACATAGCTTTTATCCTTTACCGCCTTTCCTAGATATATACTAGTTATTGCAAATAAGGGAAGCCATGGGACCTATGCTTCTTTGGGCCTGGCTTACTTCACTTAATATAATTTTTTTTCCAAGTCTTTCCTTTTCCTAATAAATGGGGCAGTGTCATTCTTTCTGGTGGAATTCTATGCCGCTGTGACTTTCATAGTGCCCTGATGCTGCCATTCACACAGATGAGGGAAGCCCCTCGTAGAGCAGTAGGTGGTCAGAGGCTATAGGTATGTGGGGCTGTTATCAGGGTTGCTTTCTGGCATAAAGGATGGGAGTGTGGTTGGGCTCAGAGTGGGTAGGGGAGCCATGTGAGCAAAAGCAGAAGTGGGGAGGGCCCTAACCCTAACCCAAGAGCCCAAGCCTGCCTTTGCAGAGTGGGGATGACCTGTCCTCACAGACCACCCCAGGACCACTTGGAAATTCATTGTTCTTGCAGCAGGGTTGTGGAACATGTCAGAGCAGCAAGATGATGTGGCTAGATTCTGGAAATTGGAGACTAAGGGAGCCATAGGGAGTGATGGGCTAGTTAGGAGATTTTGGCAGGAGGGGGTGATCATGGTGAAATAACCTGTGCTTTTACAGTGATAGTATTCCCTGCCAAGGCATGTCCTGCCCCTCAAGTCCCTATTACCCAACTGTGCAAAGTGGGCTTCCACAAAAGTGCCAAGGACTCCAGCTGAGCTGTGAGCTGGGGTCAAACCTTAGTCCACCCTTGAACTCAGTACTAGCCCCCTTCTACAAGCCTGCTCCTACAAGTCTCTCTCTGTTCTTGCTTCCGGCTTCGGCATTCCCTGTGTCTCTTTTCACCTAATTCCAGCAAGCAGCTCAGAGGGCAGGCTCCTCACCCTCTTCTTGGCTCTTTTTTCCCTTGATTTTCAGGTTTCCTTACTGTCTATCTTCCATTGCCTGATGAGCCCCACTGAAGCAAAAACATTTTAGGTGGAACTCCTTATCTGCCGTCTTCCAGCTGGCTCCCTGCCTCTGCTCTGTCACCTGAGCTCAGCTTGTAGTCACAGATGTTCATAACCTGACCCCTTAGCCTGTGCTACCCTGCTTGTAGTCCCCTCAGTGTGTTCTTCCTCCAATACCAGGGCGCGGGCAGCCAGCGAGCAGGCCAGGCAGCTGGAGAGCGAGCGGGAGGCTCTGCAGCAGCAGCACAGCGTACAGGTGGACCAGCTGCGGATGCAGAGCCAGAGCATGGAGGCTGCCCTGCGCATGGAGCGCCAGGCTGCCTCAGAGGAGAAGTGAGTCTATGGGAAGGGTGACTGGGAGATGCCAAAGGGCCCATGGTTTTTCAAATCTTGTAGGGACTGGCTGTGGGTGAGGGCTGACTCTTTTCTTTAGTGTTGCTAATGGTAGAGTTGACTGTTACTGTATTCAAACCGTTTATCTTTGAGATGAGAGTACTATTTATGATCTAGTCTACCTTCACAGCTCACTAGATATCCTGCACATACTCTTTTCTGCCCTATTTCAAGATACTTTATTTTCAAAGCAGGTCATAGAGCACCAAGCTTTTGGCCCATTATGTCCTTATTCACTGTGTAAGTGCTTAATTTACATTGAGGTTAAGTAACATGTTAGAAGTCACATGCTTATGGGGATTGAATTCAGGACCTGGGCTCTGTCCCTAAGATTTTGTGTGCAAGTCTAGTGCTTTACAACTTGAGCCACAGTTCCACTTCCAGCTTTTAAGTGGTTAATAGGAGATAAGAGTCTCATGAACTTTCCTTCCTGTGCTGTTTTTTAAACCAGGATCCTAAGGTCACAGCCTTCTTAGTAGTTAAGATTACAGGTGTGAGCTACCAGCAGTCCAAATTTCTTTTCTTGGATGTCTTTTGAGTTTCTTTTAATCCAGAACAATTTTCTTGCCTTTGTGCTTTTCTTTTTGGTGGTATTTGGGGTTTGAGTTCTGGTCCTCATGCTTGCAAGGAAGGGGATCTCCTGTGGAGCCATGCCTTCAGCTGTAGTTGACATTTTTGAAGAGTACAGGATACTTCCACATGATTATATACGTGGGCCCAGGGCTTTGTGCATGCCTTGTGCATGCTCTAGGCAAATATTCTACTACTGAGTTATACCTCAGCCCTTCTAAACATTTTAAAAGCTTAGGGTTAAGGAAAAAATGATAGGAACAATTTAGCAACCTAGTCAGTTGCAGTAATTCAAAGCCTGTCTCATAATTTCGGTACCCCTAGAGGCCCCTATTCTAGTTCTGTTATGGAACAAGAAGCCAGAGGGTAGAGCTTGTCTAGGCAAGCTCTAGGTAGGCTAGGACAAGGTGGTCTCTCCAGAGACATCTCCTTTTTTTATAGGCGGAAGCTGGCCCAGTTGCAGATGGCTTATCACCAGCTCTTCCAAGACTACGACAACCACATCAAGAGTAGCATGGTGAGCAGTGAACGTAAGCGAGTGAGTATGACCAGGCTGGAGCAGCCCCCTCTTCTTCCTTCTCTTCCTCTGCCTCTCCCTTTGTTCCTAGGGACAGAGATGAACATGACCCTTGAGACCTGACAGAATTGGCTTTTTGGACGTATACTCAACTTACTCTAGATCTGTATCAAGGCTGCAGCTACATCCATTTAGGGAAAGCCCTCAAGCAGAGGGAGCACATGAGTAGGGCACCTCTTGGTGCCCTAAGGCTGGGCTGGGACCTTGGCATGCTCATTGTGGGGCTGAGGCACAATTGTCTATGTGGTCATGTCCTCCTGGTAGCCATTAACAGTGCCGCTTGTAGCCCAGAGCTAGAATAAGATCCATTAACAGGGGCTGGGAAGGTGGCTCAGTGGTAGAGCACTTGCTTTGCATGCTCGAGGCCCTGGGATCGATTCCTCAGCACCACATAAGAAAAAAGCCGGAAGTGGCGCTGTGGCTCAAGTGGTAGAGTGCTAGCCTTGAGCTGAAGAGCTGAGGGACAGTGCCCAGGCCCAGAGTTCAGTCCCACGACCGGACCCAAAAAAAAAAAAAAAAGATCCATTAACATTCTATGCCCACTGGAAAGGCAGATGGGAACTTTTTTCTAGTTTGTCCTAATCAGACCTAAACTGAGTGCAGTTTCTAGCAATCACTTTTTTTTGTGCAGATATGGGGCTTGAACTCTTATCAGAGCCTTGCTGCTGTCTCATACTTTTTTTCTTTTTCTTTTTGTTGGTCATGGGGCTTGAACTCTGGGCCTGGGTGCTGTCCCTCAGCTCTTCAGCTCAAGGCCAGTGCTGTACCACTTGAGCCACTGTGCCACTTCCGGTTTTCTGAGTGGTTTATTGGAGATAGTCTCACGGACTTGGACTTTCCTGCTGGGGCTGGCTTTGAACCATAATCCTCAGATCTCAGCCTCTTGAGTAGCTAGTATTATAGGTGTGAGCCACCAATGCTTGGCCAACGTTTTCTCTTAAAAAAAAAATTGGTACCAGTGCAAGGGCTTGAACTAGGGCCTGGGTACAGTCCCTGAGCATTTGTGCTCAAGGCTAGCACTCTACTACTTGAGCCACAGTTCTACTTCCAGCTTTTTACTGGTGAATTGGAGATGAGTCTTATGGACTTTCCTGCCTGGGCTGGCTTCAAACTATGATCATCAAATCTCAGTCTCCTCAGTAGTTAGGATTACAGGCATGAGCCAGTGGTGCCTGCCTGAATATCTTCATTTTTTTTCAGTTGTGGGGCTTGAACTCAGGGCCTTGGTGCTGTCCTTGAGCTTTTGTGCTCAAAGCTAGTGCTCTACCACTTTGAGCCACAGTGCCACTTCTGGTTTTCTTGTGGTTAATTGGAGATAAGAGTCTCACAGACTTTGCTGCCTAGGCTGGCTTTGAGCCATGATCCTCAGTTCTAACCTCCTAAGTAGCTAGGATTACAGGAGTGAGCCGCACGACCTTCATTTTTAAAGGATTAATCAACATGCCTGGGTTGTGTATGTGACTACTTGTGAAAGCAATAAGTTGGCTTGCACTCACATTTAAATTTTTTAAATTATTTTATTTTATTTATTTATTTTTGTCAGTCCTGGGGCTTGAACTCTGGCCCTAGTTGCTGTCCCTGAGCTTTTCAGTTTAAGGTGAGTGCTCTACCATATGAGTCACAGCGCCACTTCCAGTTTTCTGGTGGTTATTTGGAGATGAGAGTCTCATGGATTTTCCTGCCCAGGCTGGCTTTGAGCCATGATCCTCAGATCTCAGCCTTCTGAGTAGCTAGAATTACAGGTGTGAGCCACCAGTGCACGGCTTATTGTTATTTTAAAGGTGATGTACATAGAGGTTACAGGTAGATAACTCAGGTAACAAGTGCATTTCTTTTTTTTTTGTAAGTCATGGGGCTTCTACTCAGGATGTGGGTGCTTTCCCAGAGCTCTTATTCTCAAAGCTATCCTTCTATCACAGCTTTACTTCTGGATTTTGAGTGGTTAATTGGAGGTCAGAGTCTCATGGGGACTTTTGTGTCCAGGCTGGCTTGGAACCATGATCCTCAGGTCTCAGCCTCTTGAGTAGCTAGAATTATAGGTGTGAGCCACTGGCACCTGGCATAAGTATACCTTTTTAGACAATATCTTCCCTTCTCTTACTCCTAGTTTTTCCCTCCCATTCCCCCTACAAGTTGTATAATTCATTTTCAATATAATGTCTAGTGAGTACCATTGCTGCATTTGTTTACACTTTGTCCCTCCATTTCTGTTGTATTCATGTTTTTTTTTTTTTTTTGGGTCCGGTTGTGGGGCCTGAACTCTGCGCCTGAGCGCTGTCCCTCAGCTCTTCAGCTCAAGGCGAGCACCCTGCCACTTGAGTCCACGTGAGTCACAGCGCCACTTCCAGCTTTTTTTCTTTTTGCTTATGTGGTGCTGAGGAATCGAACCCAGGGTCTCAGGCATGCAAGGCAAGCGCTCTACCACTGAGCCAACTTCCCAGCTCTGTATTCATGTTTTAAGAAGGATATTGTCAGCCATGATCTTCCCCAGAGGAAATTTATAAGTATTATATAATTTTTATGAGTTCCTTTTGTAAGTAACTCTTTTTACGTGACCCGAGGAAGAGTTACTTATTAAAAATGGCCACATCTGGGCTGGGAAGTTGGCTCAATGGTAGAGTGCTTGCCTCGCATGCATGAGGCCCTGAGTTCTATTCCTCAGCACCACATAAGCAGAAAAAAGCCAGAAGTGGTGCTGTGGCTCAAGTGGTAGAGCACTAGCTTTGAGCTAGTGAGCCTTGAGCTGAAGAGCTGAGGGACAGTGCCCAGGCCCAGAGTTCAGGCCCCACGACCGACTGAAAAAAAAATGGCCACATCTCTGGAGAGAAGTCTTGGTGAGAAGAGTGGCGCGCGCGTGTGTGTGTGTGTGTGTGTGTGTGTTGGCAGACCAGGTGGAAGAGTGGAAAACCCCATCTATTGGAGCTTAGTGATGTGTGAAGGGCCTGTGGTCAGTGGCATGTTAGTGCTTGGGACCTGCTTCCTTTGGTGTAGGCACATCAAGTGGGACAGTCAGAGAAGGGCTGTTGAGCTGAGGATTTGGGAAGGGATCAGCTCCCAGGTGGGAGGCAGTGCTAGATGATCACAGAGAGCCCATAAGTCCTGATAGCCTTACATCTTGAGAAAATCTTCACCATTTTTTCTGTCCCCCCTGGGGCTGTGACAGGATGTAGCCTTTATTCTATATGTGCTAAGATCTTGTCATGTGTCCTGAAGTTCATGGGATGAGGCCAGCATTGTCACAGATTTTGGTGAGCTAGGGGGCTTCTTTTGTCTCTCTTAGTTCTTACTCTGAGTAGTGGCCTGCTTGGGAGGTGCTTGGGCTTGCTTTGGGTTGGGAGGCTCTATCAGTGCTCTTTGCGTATCTCTAGGGAATGCAACTGGAAGACCTCAGGCAGCAGCTCCAGCAGGCTGAGGAGGCCCTGGTGGCTAAGCAGGAAGTGATTGACAAGCTGAAGGAGGAGGCTGAGCAGCACAAGACTGTGATGGAGACGGTGCCAGTTCTCAAGGCCCAGGTGAGGTATCTCCTCTGGCCTGCGCTCTGTGAGCACCGTGGCTTACTCTAGCACTTGGTCCCACCATGTTTCTTTAGTCTCTCTCTCTCTCTTTTTTTTTTTTGCCAGTCCTGAGGCTTGAACTCGGGCCCTTGGCACTGTCCCTGGGCTCCTTTTGCTCCAGTCGAACACTCTTATCACTTTGAGCCACAGCACCATTTCCAGCTTTTTCTGAGATTAATTGGAAATAAGAGTCTCAGGAATTTTCTTTCCTGGGCTGGCTTTGAATCACAATCCTCAGATCTCAGTATCCTGAGTAGCTAAGATTACAGGCTTGAACCACCAATGCCCAGCTTTTTGGTGTCATTTTATGGTGTCCTCTCTTAGGCTTTCTTTCTTGTTTTTGTTGGTCATGGGGCTTGAACTCTGGGCCTGGGCACTGTCCCTCAGCTCTTGAGCTCAAGGTGAGCACTCTGTCACTTGAGCCACAGCACCACTTCCGGTTTTCTGGTGGTCAATTGGAGATAAGAGTCTCCCGGACTTTCCTGCCTAGGCTGGCTTTGAACTGAGATTCTCAAATCTCAGCCTCCTGAGTAGCTAGGATTACAGGTCTGAGCCATCGGTGCCCAGCCTCTCTTAGGCTTTCTGCGTGTCATGCTCTGTTCCTTGATCTCTCAGTGCCATAGGATCTCTTGATGACATATCTGTTTTCCTATGTGGGGCCAGGATCCCAGAGGGCTTTATTCCCCTGGGGTATGGCATGAGTGGGTGATGGGCAGGTGATAGGTGGTAGGCATATCCCTCTCTTGGATTTGCTAGGCGGATATTTACAAGGCAGACTTCCAGGCTGAGAGGCAGGCCCGTGAGAAGCTGGCTGAGAAGAAGGAGCTTCTGCAGGAGCAGCTGGAGCAGCTACAGCGGGAGTACAGCAAGCTGAAGGCCAGTTGCCAGGAGTCAGCCAGGTGGGCCCTATATGAAGAGTGGGTATGAAACTGGGTGGTGACTAATAAGTTCAGGAGACTGATAGCTACTGGCTTTTGGGTTAGGCATCTTTTGCCCTTGACCTGTCCTAGTGACCTTCCACACTAGTCCAGCCAGGAACTTCACTGAAATGCATGTTTTGATCAGATGGTTTCTATTTTCAAAGGATTGAGGATATGAGGAAGCGGCATGTAGAGACCTCCCAGCCCCCTTTGCCCCCTGCCCCAGGTGAGTGGGTGAGAATCCACATTGGGCTGCAAGTAGGGTGGGCAGAGAGGCAGGGTTGCGTGCAGAGGGATGTGTTGGCCTCTCTAAGAGTGAGCAACATATGTTGGCTGCCCCCCCCATCTGTAGCCCCACCCCTACCCCTGAGATGTGGGGAAGAGGTTCTCCTTGAGAGCCCCTGGTAGTCCTGGGTGGTGGTCCCGGCTCCTGGTCACATGTGGGTGGTGACACTTGTGGTCAGATATGGAAGTACCATCAGGTCTTAACACATTGGCATCCTCCCTTCCCCTCAGTTTCTACCCGGGTTGTGCATGCAGCCCACCCATCTAGTGTCTGTTTTCTCTTCTCAGTTCATCACTCCTTTCACCCGCCCAACCAGAGGAGAAGCCCCCCTGAGGAGCCACCCGACTTCTGTTGTCCCAAGTGCCAGTATCAGGCTCCTGATATGGACACTCTACAAATCCATGTGATGGAGTGCATTGAGTAGGGCTGGCTGCTCCAACGACACCAGCATATGCTATGCTCAGGACAAAGCAATCTATGCTTGCCTCTCCTGCCTGCTTAGACCAGAACTAAGGACTTAGTGCCAAAAAGCCGACCCCAGGAAGTAACTGCAGGGCCCTTCCTTCAGTGTTTTTGTCTGCTAGTCCACTTCTTTTGGGGTAATTGGAGCTCCAGTCAGGTCTCATGTTTTTCTCTTTTCCTTCTGTTCTGTCTGCCTTAACTATACACTTCTGGTGGCAAATCTTGTCTCTGCCCCTCTAGAATGGAGGCCAGGGGCACTCAAGGAAAACCACTTCCCTAATCACACCTGGGTGTAGCTTGACTTCTCTCTGGCTGTTGATTTGCCTACCCTGAGCCCTTGAGCTGCAGTCTTTCCACCTGGGCCACATGACACGCTACTTTGTTGCCATACCATGGTATGTTTAACCAGTGCCATTAATGGCCGTTTGCCTTTTCTCCCCTAGTATTTTTGCTACCATTAATGATTTGGTGAAGATGCTTTCACACCAATCATGTGTGTCTTTGGAATGCTTAGAAGTGGTACTGCAGTCTTTCCAGGAGGAGGTGGGCAGATAGATTTCTGGGTTTTGCCGTCCACTAGGTATGAAGTGACCTTGAGCATCATTCTGCGGGAACTGGGCTACTCAGTTCCCTGCCATGTGAAGGCTGTTCATATTTCTTACCAATTTCTCTCTCTAGCCATTATCTTTTGTTTCTGGGCTTTTAGGAGCTCTTTAGTCATTATTATGATTAGCACATATGGTGTCCCATTTTGGTTTTATTATCTTTTTCTCTTTAGGTAGTCACATTTATCCATTTTTTTCTTTTCACTGCTTTGGGTTACAAACAAACGTTTGTGTTACAAACACTTTGTGCTCTGACAGGATGCTTCATACATGTATACTCTTTTATTTTTCCCCTAACACTGAAGTGGTCTCTTAGCTAAGTGTGTTACTCTCCAGGGTGAATGGTGATGGCCATGGTTTCTCGCATTTCACAGGTGTGCAATGCCATATCCTACCCAGTCCCAAATGCTCTGGCCTTGTAAACGAAAGCCAGTTGACAATGACCGGCACATTAGGAACAAGGAGAGTTTTCACTAGTTTTGCAAGGTTCTGGATATTTTCTTGTATATCACGGCCGTGGGTTTCAACCCTGCAATTGTAGTAACAGAAAGAAAGCTGAAGTTGAGAAACTACAACACACATAGACAACTTGACTCCTCAGGCCTGTCCTTCCCCCTCCAAGCTTCCCTGATAACAAATGGAATGCTGTGAATATGTCTCTGGTTTTTTCCCTTTGACTACAGTTAGAATATAAAGTCTTTTAAAAAAAGCCTGAAGCCGGGCGCCGATGGCTCATGCCTGTAATCCTAGCTACTCAGGAGGCTGAGCTCTGAGGATCATGGTTCAAAGCCAGCCCGGGCAGCAAAGTCCGTGAGACTCTTATCTCCAATAAACCACTAGAAAACTGGAAGTGGCGCTGTGGCTCAAGCGGTAGAGCGCTCACCTTGAGCTGAAGAGCACAGGGACAGCGCCCAAGCCCAGAGTTCAAGCCCCACGACCGACCAAAAAAAACAAACAAAAATACCCCAAGCCTGAGCAGGGGCTTCCTTCCTCGGCATCTGCAGGGTAGGGAGTAGATTTTCCATATCCTAAAGTCCGGGTGTCCACCACACAGTACTTTGGGGGAAATGTTAAAGACACAGACAAGTTCTCTGCTCTCAAGTACTGAATTTCAATCTTGTGTAATTTGTCTACATGAGCACTGTTTTGCTTTGTGATGGTATGTGATTTACCCGTGGTGGCTGTGAAAACTTTGGTGCAGTTGAAAAAGAACACACTGAATTCTTTCACGTTTTGGAAACCAGATGCCTGAAGTCAAGTTGCTTCTTTTGGAAGCTCTGCGAATCTCTGTCTGCTTCCTTGCTTTTTGTGGTTTCTGGCAGTCCTTGGTGTCCCTTGGCTTATGTGGTCACATGGTCTCTTCCTCTGTGCCTTCTCTTTTGTCTTTTATAAGGACATCAGATATTGATTGTGGGGTCCAACTGGATAATCTAGAATGATCTTCATATATCAAGGTCATGTTCACAAGTTCTGGGGAGTTCAGACCTGCATGTATTTTTATTTTGATACCACCATTCAGCCTAGTATGGGAATGTTTTGAGAGCCCGTGGAGGGCAAATGCAGGCTGAAGACCTGGGTTTTTCAGGACCTGAAGTTCCGCTAAAGGCATTTGATCTACAGGTTGATGATGCCCATTAGGCTATAGAGTTTGGTGTCGGAAATCTTGTCTATAGATGGTCTGGTGCTGGGGTGAGTTGCTATGGGTGGAAGAGGTCAGTAGGCTGCAGTAGGAGAGAGCTGTTAGGCTCTCTGTGCCCTAGGTGGCAGCCTCTGGCTGTGTAAAGATGGATTTTGTGCTTCTTAAGAGGATGACTGTTGGTAAGTGTCCCTCTCTGACCAGCACCCTCTTTTGAAAGGAGCTTAGAAAGAAAGAGGGTGCAGCCCAGGACCATGCAAAAGATAGTTGTTTTCCATGGAGGTTACACAGCTGAATCATTGGGATTTTGGAAAATGCTAGGGGCCTAGGCCCCTTGCACCAGTTGAGTGAGAATCTGGTGGTAGGCCAAGGCATTGGTTGAGAGCAACTACCCTCTGGAGTAGCTGGGCACCCTTGCTGACCTGCTTCCTCCATAGCACTGTGTAGGGATAACCACACGTTAGACACCAAGGATTTTATTTTATTATTATTATTATTATTTTTGGTTGGTTGTGGGGGCTGAACTCTGGGCCTGGGCACTGTCCCTCAGCTCTTCAGCTCAAGGCTAGCGCCCTACCACTTGAGCCACAGCACCACTTCTGGCTTTTTTCTGCTTATGTGGTGCTGAGTAATTAAACTCAGGGCCTCATGCATGCAAGGCAAACACTCTACCACTGAGCCAACTTCCTAGTCCCCCAAGGATTTTAATGTCTTACCATTTTCTCAGACATGGGGTATTCTGCTTTCTTTTCTGGATTTACTTAAGCCAAGCTTCTGGAACAAGTGCTTGAGTTCCACTCATGTGAAAATCAGCCTATCTGCCTTGTTAGTTGTGGTTCCTGGATACAGACAGCTAGAAAAACATCCACTGCTGACCCTGTTTCCTGTTGTTCTTTTATGCACCCCTCCTGCCAGTGAGCACCCAAGGAGAATTCAGATGGCACAGTACCCGAAGAGTTCACCTGCATTGGTAACAACTACCACAAAAACCAATAGCAACAAATGCATCCCTGTATATGGTGCCTTGCTGGCAGGGTGCTGACATAGGCTTGACCTAGAGTCACCCCTTTGGATATAAGGGGCTATTTGGAGAAATATGGCAAACACTTGAGGACGTCCTCTGCTCTCTTCCCTTTAATTGGGTACACAGTGACATTGTCATGTATCACTGTCAGAAGGCTGTGGTAAATGAAATAAGAGGCTGTGTAGCTGATAACATGGACCTGTCCACTCACCATTTGGACATCCTTTTATAAGGAACATGGCTTTGTAGCATGTTGGTATGAAAAAGCCAGGGGAAAAACTTGTGTGTAAAGTGTGAAATAAAAGCTGCAAGTGCACACTCTACTTTCATTTGGATTGATGTGATGGAATTGTCAGTAATGAAAAGTTTTTCTTTTGTATTTAGGTATCTTCTCTATGCCTATAATTTGCAAGCATTACTTTGATACAATATGTGTCACTACAAAGTTGGCCTGCTGTTCCATGTAGCTGTGAGGATTCTCTGCCAGTGGCACAGGAGAACTCAATGTTTTTTTTGTTTTTTGTTTTTTTTTTGGTCGTGGGGGTTGAACTCTGGGCCTGGACGCTGTCCCTCAGCTCTTCAGTGTAAGGCGAGAGCTCTACCACTTGAGCCACAGCGCCACTTTGGGTTTTCTGGTCGTTTATTGGAGATAAGCGTTTCATGGCTTTTCCTGCCCTTGCTGGCTTTGAACCATGATCTCAGCCTCCTGAGTAGCTAGGATTACAGGCATGAGCCCCCAGCACCCAGCTAGAGCCTTTATCATTTCTTGAGTTTCATTATTTTGTTTTTGGTGGTACTGGGGTTTGGACTCTGGGCTTTGTGTTTCCCAGGCAGATGGCGTATCCCTTGGGCCACACCTTTAGCCCATTTTTTTTTTTTTTGGTGACTTCCTTTCTGGTTTCATGTGAGACTGAAGGCTGTCAGCTGGTAATGGTCTAGGGCTAGAGTTGGTGGGAAGGGAGTACCTGCTAATGGGTACTGGGTTTCCTGGGGTGATGAGAATGTTCTTGAATTAGTCATGGTGATAGTCACACGCATCTAAGAGTGTGTCACAGCCATTGCATGATATACTTTAGATGGGTATATTTGTGTAATATGTGGATTAAACCTCAATAAAGCTTGTATTAAAAATGTTATCCAGGGGGCTGGGAAGGTGGCTCAGGTGCCTTGCATGCATGAGGCCCTGGGTTCGATTCCTTAGCACCTCATAAGCAGAAAAAGTCAGAAGTGGCGCTGTGGCTCAAGTGGTAGAGCACTAGCCTTGAGCTGAAGAGCTGAGGGACAGTGCCTAGGCCCAGAGTTCAAGACCCATGATTGACAAAATTTTTTTATCCAGAGCTGGTAGCATGGCTCAAGTGATGATAGAACACCTACCTAGTAAGCACAAGGCCTTGAGTTCAAACCCCAGTACCTTAGAATTGCAAAAAAAGCTATCTACATCCTGTGTAGCTTTCTGTAAGCCTTTGTGAAAATGTAAATGAGTACATAAATATGATGAACATTTATATCTTATAACCCAGTACCCATTAGCAGGTACTCCCTTCCCACCAACTCTAGCCCTAGACCATTACCAGTTGATAGATGGCCTATTAATGAGCTCTTGATGCTGTTTCATTAACTAGAAGGGCAGAAGAATTTTTTTGGTTTTTTTTTTTTTTGGGGGGGGTCCGGTCGTGGGTCTGAACTCTGGGCCTGGGCGCTGTCCCTCAGCTCTTCAGCTCAAGGCTAGCCCTCTACCACTTGAGCCCCAGCGCCACTTCCGGCTTTTTTCTTTTTGCTTATGTGGTGCTGAGGAATCGAGCCCAGGGCCTCAGGCAGAAGATTTGAAGCGAAGAGTGGGTGAGTTTTTTTTTTTTCTGATGAAGCAGAGTGCTCCTATCTTGTCATTTTCCCAGAGACCCAGGGTTGGAACAAACCAGAAGACTAGCAGTGGCTCTTTTACTGGACTGAGGTTGCTTTCTCTGTCATCGTACAACCAAGCCTTTGAAGGGAGTGTGCATGTGCTGGAAGTGGGTGGGTGACTTGTGGGTATCTGCATCTTCAAAGGATAGGTGGGTGAGCATGGTGGGTGCTGACCAGTGTGGAAGCAAGGAGAATCAGAGATAGCGACTTTCCTATAATTTCCTTGGTTCTGAGTGTTCTGGCCTGGGCATGGATCTGAGAAATCAGTCTGACAGAGCCATGGTAAGTAGCCAAATATCTGCTATACTTGCAAATAAGCTTCTCCTTGTACCCACCTGCAAGTGATAGGCAGGGTAAAAAGCATCACTGAACAAGTCATACATAGAAAAACCAACCAAGTGAATGAAGCACTAAGCACAGAAAGAGCAAGGTGCCCATAGCAGGAAAGGATCCGTGAGACAAAGACTTCAGATGCTAGAGCTATAAGACATTGAAGACTGGACAACTGAACTTAAAATATTTAAAACAGGAATTTCTCTTTGGAGCTCTCTCCTGAGGGAGAGCTTCACTACTTTCCTTAAACACTTTCTTTCACTTTTCAAATAAACATAATCTGTTCACCTTAAAAATGTGTAAAGCAAAAAAAAAAAAGTTTGGAACATCTATTTGCAAGGAATGTGACATTAGAAAGTGACTTTAGAAAATTAATTTTGATTATAAAGGTGATGTGCAGAGGGATTATAATTATATAAGTCAGGCAAAGAGTACATTTCTTTTTTGAGAATGTTACTTCTTCCCGTGCACTCTCTCAGAGAGAGAGAGAAAGAGAGGGGGGAGAGAGGAGACAATAGAAGATCTGTAAATATGGATTGGAAATATCAGTATGAACTTGATTGAATCTCTTAAAAAAATCCATATTTCTTTTCTCTTCTCCTGAAATGGCCTGGAAGTACAGACAACCTAGTAACAAGTGCACCAAGACGTGCCCTTGAAATGTGCTATTGAAAGGATCAGCCCCCTGGAGAATGGCTTATTTCAGGTATGAGGCAGGAGGTACACAACATAAAAATAGGTGAATTATCAAAGACCATAGAGGTCTGTAAGTAAGACACAGCTACTGAGTGAAATTGCCACTGGGTAAGAAATCAGGAGCCCTGGCCAGGTATAGTGATTCATGCCTGCTACCCTAGTTACTTGGGAGGCAAAGATCAAGGAGGATCATGATTCAAGGCCAGCCCAGGCAAAACGTTCACCAGACTCCTCTACCAATTCAAAACAAAAGCTGGAAGTGGTGATGCAAGCTAGCCTGGAGAAAAAGTAAGAACCTATTTGAAAAACAACAAACACAGAAAGGCCCAGGGGTATGGCTCCAGTGGTAGTGCCTGCCCAGGAAGTACAAGGCCCTGAGTTCAAACCTCCCATTACCACCAAAACCAAAAGAAACCCTCAAGCCTCAGTTGTTTTCTATATACCAGCAATGAAAATCTGAAAATTAAATTAAGACAAAAATATTTCCAATATACCATCAGAAACAGTATTGATCATTCTAGCTATGTGCATACAATATACTTAAAAAAAGGTAATTAAAATAGATGGGGGTCTCTCAGGAAACAAATGGGTGGTAAGGATAATAGAAAAGATAAATATATTCTATGTATCTATGAAAATGTCACAATGGACCTAGGCACCAGTATCTCATGCCTGTAATTCTAGCTAATGAGGAGGCTGAGATCTGTGACTAATGGTTCAAAGACAGCTTGAGCAAGAAAGTCCATAAATTCTTATCTCCAGTTAACTACCAAAAACCTGGAAGTAGAGCTGTGGCTCAAGTAGTAGAATACTAGACTTGAGCACTAAAGCTCAGGGTTTCAGGGACTAAAAGTTCCTCATCACCATGGAAAGCTGGTCAAGAAAACCGTTGACTGAAATTCTGAAGAGAATTGGGTCTTCAGTCGTCCACCTACTAAAAACAAGGAGAAACCATTGGATAAAAGATGAGAAGTCTGGAGATCCAGGGCATCTCACCCCAATCTGCTAACACCAAACCCAACCAGCGCCCCATTACAACGATAGTGCAGACTGCCTCCCACTACCCCGCGCCAGCTTCTGCTAGAACTGACACCGTCAAGACACTGCCAGTCACTGTGAGCTCCTTGTGGACCATCTCTTGCTGACGTTGGGCATAGGTGACCAGGGACCTGCGGGCCATGTCTGCCTCCAGAGGGGATCCAAAGGGCACAGTCAGAGAGCTGGAGGAAGACAGACTTAAGGCACCACGCACTGCTCACTCTGCTCCTGCCCCCGACCCCTTCCCTTTCAGAGGCCTGGCCTGGCACGCAGCGCCCTCCGGCCAACCTGAGCCCCGCAGCCACCTCCCCAGGGCTCCAGGCCTTCTTCAGCGCCCTGCAGTCGTGTCAGCCACAGACCACCCCCTGCCTTCCGCGATGCCCGCTCTGGCTGTGCCTTTGCCCACGGGGTTCACCCGCCACTGCCCTCGGTTCCTTCTCGGGCTGTGGTCCACTTCCTCTCCGCACCCGCAGCAGCCTTGCCTGGCCTTCTGTGCCCAGCCTCGACCCGTCCCCCGCCTCGCGCCCTGTGGGAAGGATACAACTCCAGGAGTCGGCTTCCAGGCCTTAGGAAGGAGGTGGCGGCATCTCCACTGGCGGCTGGAGCAGGGGGTGCCCGCTCGCCCCGCGGACTGGGGATGGCGAGCACGCCCACCGCGCTTTCCCCCACGTGGCTACTGGGCTCGGGGCTGCCCCATGCACGCCTCCAGGGGTTGCCTGACCATTGGGCGCGGAGGTGGGGTGGGGGGGGAGGGCATGCTGGCTTTCCTCCCCTTCTTTTTCTTTTTGGCATTTTAAAATTGTTATTGTAAGGGCGATGTACGGAAAGGTTACAGTTACATAGGTCAGATAAAGAACACTCATTACCGTACTTATGTAACTGTAGCCCCTCTGAAATCACCCTTACAATAAAATAAAATATAAAATAAGATTACATTTCTTAGCTGGGCACTGAGGGCTCATAACTATAATCCTCAGGAGTCTGGGATCTGAGGATCAATGTTCAAAGCCAGCCTGGGCAGGAAAGGGCATGAAACTCTTATCTCAATGGAAGAGTGCTTGTCTGGAACGTGCAGAGTCTAATGTCCTTCCTGTGCAGTACTATGGATACAAGCAAGGAGGAAAATGCAACCCATATTGGGGAGAGAAAGCAATCACAGGAAGACATGGAGTCCAAGAGTCACGCCTGCCTTTACTCTGAGAAAACACTATCATACTTAGAGGAAATCCCATGGCATCTAAACAAATGTTTCTAGACTGCACAGAGCAAAGCTGCAAAACGCTGTGCACTGTACTTTATCTTAGAGTGCTAACTCCTTCCCTAAACATTTTCCCTGGTTCCCCCGGCACTTTTCCTCACAAGGCAAATAAGCCACTGAACCCTTATCTTGGTGTTTCTGGGTAGCTTGTTCTCATGCACAAAAAGCCCTGTTGTGCACGCGTGAGTTTTTCTTGCTGTTATTTGGTTTCAGTGGCAAATACTCAGCAGTGCTAAGGAAAACCAGCATTCAGGTAGTTGGGCTCATTTTCTGCAAAGCAAGTATATACAAGAATCCCATCTACCCTATGGGTTTTTAGAATGGGAAAATAAATGCTCTAACGAAGTGCATTGCAAAGTGTGATTTGGGGCTGGGATGTAACTCAGATACTAGCCTAGCAAGTACAGTGTTATGAGTTGGATCCCCTAAAAAGAAAAGAAAAAAAAAAGTTAAAAAAGTCCAACCAAGCTGGCCGCCAGTGGCTCACACCTGTAATCCTAGCTGCTCAGGAGGCTTAGTTCTGAGGATCACAGTTCGAAGCCAGCCTGGGCAGAAAAGACCGTGAGACTCCTATCTCTAATAAACAACTAGAAAACCAGAAGTGGCGCTGTAGCTCAAGTGGTAGAGCGCTAGCCTTGAGCCGAAGAGCTGAGGGACAGCATCCAGGCCCAGAGTTCAAGCCCCAGGACCGACAAAAAAAAAAAAAAAAGTCCAACCAAACAAAAAGCCTTTAAAAGAGTGTGATTTGTGTGTATCTTTTTGCTACCACTGTGTGTGTGTGTGTGTGTGTGTGTGTGTGTGTGTGTGTTGGTCATGACGCTTGAACTCACAGGCTGGGTGCTATCCCTGAGCATTTTGCCCAGGGTTAGTGCTTTCCACTTGAGCCATACTTCTACTTCCAGATTTTTGGTGGTTAATTGGAGATAACAGTCTCATGGACTTTCCTGCCCAGGCTCGCTTTCATCCTCAGATCTCTACCCTCTGCACAAGATTACAGGTGCAAGCCACCAGTGCTCTGCTCAATAACATTTTTTTTTGTCAAAGTGATGTACAGAGGGGTTTCAAATGTGTTGCCCCTTCCCTCAATTTTCTCCTACTTTCCCTCCTCCCCAATCCCTCCCAAATTGTACCGATCTCTGTTTCATTGGTTCCCTTCTTGTCCTGTCTCACCATTCTGTTTTTCCCCTTCCCTTCCCTAACTCAAATAAATGTATATACAATACCAGGGTACCAAAATCAAATGCAGTAACAACAGGGGATATGTCATAGGAGGAAGAATATACATAAGAAACAAATAATCATTTAGTATGATAACATGTTTTTGAACAATTGTTAGAATGGGGAAAGAGCATGGTAAGCCCAAATGTAATATTAGTCCTTCAAAAATTATGTGTTCTGTGTTATAGATACACATGTAATGCATGAATAGAACTCCTGAAGGCAATCCAACCTTTTCAAATGTTGGCATCTCAGTGAGACAGTCAGAGAGGCCTGATTTCACAGCCACATTTCCTGTTTTTAACAATAAGCTATTTAATTTTATGCTCTCATTTCCCATTTAAACCTTTATTATGCTGTCAAAACAAGGGGGAGTTTCTGCTTTATTTTCAATCAAACTTAAAAAAAATTATTTTTACTGCAGATTGAACCCAGGGCCTTGCATTTGGTATCTTGGTGCTCTGTCACTTACTTGAACCATGGCTTTGGCATTGATTTTTTTTTTAAGTGATTATGTTTGAGTCTCTTGAACTTTTCATCCCAGATTGGCCTTAAAAACTGTTATCCTGGGCTGGGAAGGTGGCTCAGTTGTAGAGCGCTTGCCTTGCACGCATGAGGCCCTGTGTTCGATTCCTCAGCACCACATAAGCAAAAAGAAAAAAGCCAGAAGTGGCGTTGTGGCTCAAGTGGTAGAGCACTAGCTGAAGAGCTGAGGGACAGCGCCCAGGCCCAGAGTTCAGGCCCCATGACTGGACTAAAAACAAACAAACAAACAAACAAAAAACTGTTATCCTTCTGTTATCAGCCTCCTCATAGCTAGGGTTACAGGCATGAGCAATGTGTAACTGGCAACCCCTTGTTTTTCTTCTTTTTCCCCCCTAGTCATACAGCTTGGACTCAGGATCTAGGTGCTGTCCCAGAGCTTCTTTGTGCTCACAACTAGCTCTCTGCTCTTGGCTTTTTTTCTGAGTAGTTTATTGGAGGTAAGAGTCTCAGAGAGTTTTCTGCCCAGGCTGGCTTGGAATTGTGATCCTCAGATCGTAGCCTCCTGAGTAGCTAAGATTACAGGCATGAGCCACTGGCAGACAGGCAACCCTTTTTTCTTTACATACTGTCCTTTAAGTTCAGTTTTCTCATGGTCTCTGATTCTGTCTTTTGCTTTTGTTTTCCAACCAAATGTCTGGCTTGATCCCTGAGAAAACAGCTGCTGGTCTCTTGGCTGATGATCCAGGGATTTAGCACACAGGTTGTAGAAAAATGACACTTTTGGGGAGGGCACACTTTTTGAACAGCAATTGTATGCTGTTATATTACAGCTTTAAAATGAATAGAAAAGCTGAGCACTGGTGCAGCACACTTGTAATCTTAGCTAGTCAGGAGGGTGAGTTCTGAGGATTGCAGTTTGAAGGCAGTCCTGGCAGGGGAGTCCATGAGATTCTCTCTTTTATTTTTGTGCTGGTCCTGGGGCTTGAACTCGGAACTTGGGCACTGTCCCCGAGCTTTCATGCTCAAGGCTAGTGCTCAACGACTTGAGCCACTGCTCCGCTTCTGGCTTTTTCTTGTAGTTAATTGGATATAAGAGTCTTATGGATTTCTTGCCAGGGACAGCTTTGAACCATGATCCTCAGATCTCAGCATCCTAGGATTACAGGCTTGAGCCACTGGCACCTGGCCCTGAGACTCTTTTTTTTTTAAATTTTATTTATTTATTTTTTGTTGTTGGTCATGGGGCTTGAACTCTGGCCTTGGGCGCTGTCTCTGCGCTCTTCAGCTCAAGGCTAGCACTCTACCACTTGAGTCACAGCGCCACTTCCGGTTTTTTCTTTTTGCTTATGTGGTGCTGAGGAGTTGAACCCAGGGCCTCATGCATGCAAGGCAAGCGCTCTACCACTGAGCCACCTTCCCAGCGGCCCTGAGACTCTTATATCCAATTAACAACCACAAAAAATGCTGAAACTATTACTCAAGTGGTAGTGTGCTAACCTTGATCAAAATACCTCAGGGACAGTGCCCATGTCCTGAGTTCAAGCCCCAAGACAAGCACAAAAAAATGAATAGAAAAATAAATATTGAACTCACTAGTTATATTTTGTACAATCTAGTTTGATGAAGTAACTAGGGAGCCAAAGACACACAATTCCATGAACTCTGACTTATAATAGGGAAACTGTTGAACAATTACATTATAATTAATGTCCACATTTATTGAATTTCACATTTTTAAAGAATCTTTAAAAAAGTAGCCCATTTGTTAATTAAAAACAATTAAGAGCTGGGTTCCAGTGGTCACATCTGTAATTCTGGCTGCTGAGGAGGCTGAGATCTGAGGATCATGGTTCAAAGCCAGATTGGCAGGAAAGTCTGTGAGACTCTTATCTTCAGTTAACCATCAAAAAATCAGAAATACAACTGTGGCTCAAGTGGTACAGCACTAGCCTTGAACAAAAAAAGTTCAGGGGAAAAAAAAACAGTTCAGGGATAACCACCCAAGCCCTGAGTTCCAGCCTCAGGCTGAGTTTCAGCCTCAGTTTCAAGAATAAAACTGTAAATATACACAAATACTGATTTATCTTCTTGGATACTACTCCAGCATTTGAATTTCCGACCCTTCCCTCTGACACAAGGACAAAGGAACATAAATATAACAGAAGAGACTGAAAAGACACTCAGATGCAGATTAGTAACCTAGTTTTATTTTCCACCAAAACCAATGTTTAATCACTCTTTCTCCAGTAACAGAAAATGAAAAGGCCAATACAGATTATTGGACTCCCATAACAAAGTATCAACTACTGCATGGACTGACTTCCATGGGATGACTTAGGAAGATTACTGGGTTAGGCTTAACCCCCTTTTCCTGGAAAAAAGCCTAGTAAAAGTAATGGAGCCAAGTGCTATATGCCTTGTATCAAGAAGGAAAGCTGGTCCAGACAGGAGGTGATGGAAATTTGAAGCTGGTCAGGATCACCACTAATCAGTTGGCTGAAAGTGAGGATAGAAAGGTACAGGTAGTTAGTGGCTTTTTGGTGGTAAAATTGAAGAGTCTCAGGAACTTTTTCTCCCCAGCTGGCTTTGAACTGAAATCTTCCCATGTCATCCTCCTATGTAGCTGGGATTATAGGCATGAGCCACTAGTGCACTCCTAAAAGGGGAATTCTTTGTCTCTTAGAAATAAAAGTGATACTTAGAAAAGGTAAACACCTGTTTTAAGCCACAGTTTAGAATGTGTGTTGGGAAGGAGTTTCTTTTTTCCTAGAACTTACTCAATGGATAGCTAGTATAGCCCAGATCTGATTAGTTTCGAAAATTTGCTATGTTGTAGGTTATCTTGAGTGGAAATTGGACAAAATACTTATGTGTTAGATAAAGGTTTCAAAATTAGGACACTAGCCAGATGCTGGTTGCTCACAACTGTAATCATAATCACTCAGGAGCTTGAGATCCAGAAAATCTTGAGAGGCTCCACCTCCAAAATACCCAGCAAAATATTGGAAGAGATGTGCTTCAAATAGGGAGAGCCAGCTGAGAACGCAAGGTGAGGGGAGAAGGTAAAGGAAATGAACAAAAGAGGAAGAGTCGGATTGAGCTACATTGTATATCTGCATGGAAATGTCACAACACACCTTTCCTGTGTATAAGTAATGCAAGCTAATAAAAATCTGTAAGAACTGGGGCTGGGAATGTGGCTCAATGGTAGAGTGCTTGCTTTGCATGCATAAGGCCCTTGGATTCGATTCCTCAGCACCACGTAAGCAGAAAAAGCTGCAAGTGGCACTGTGGTTCAAGTGGTAGAGCACTAGCCTTGAGCTGAAGAGTTGAAGGATAGCACCCAGGCCTAGAGTTCAGGCCCCATGACCGACAAAAAAACTGTAAGAACTAATAAAAAAGAAAGTTATAGATAGTAACTGCATTTACTTTGGTTGGCTCCCTCCTATGTTGACGGTTCCTAGCACTGGGCCTCTCAGACCTTAGCTTTGGTATTCCTGCTTATCTATCACAACGCCCCTGATAGGACTGACCTAGCCACATGCCCCCATAAGCCCCCACTCCCACTCAGGATCCTTCCCAAACTCACATAGTCACTACATTGTGGCAGAGTGTGAGTTCCTTCTGAATTGTTCCATGGAGGGACTGTATATGTTGGGAGAAATACTGCAAGGCCATCTGTGCATCTGTATTAGAGCAAAAGGGTACCTCGAGGAAGCTGGCGGAAGTGTGGTTAAGGCACCATATCACTCTGAATGCTGCTTTGACCTAGACCAGGCCTCTGTCCCTGAAGTCACTCCCAAGTTTCACCCTTCCCTCCAGTGGGGCCATGTCCTTCAGAAACTTCTTTCAGGGCCCAAACGTTCCGGCTATATCCCTTGCTGCACCCTCAGGTTATTCCTCCACGTTGTCCTCCCCCTCCCCTCCCCCGCCCCCATCCCTTCAGCGACTGTTCCCCTCCCCCATTCCCCCCCCCCCCCCCCGCCCCGTTCTCCCTCAAGGCTCTGAGTAGGATACAAATGAAGCAACTGGTTTCCTGCGCTTCTGGCTGTGGATATGGAGCATCCACCCACTTGTGTGTCTGCCCACTGTCTCGCGTGTCTGTTCAGGCCTGCTGCCGGATGGCCGGCAGGTCCCCGGCCAGCATTTGTTCGGAACGGTGGCATGGTGCTTTCGTGAGGGAACCAAGGCACACCGAAGTCTGCGGCCTGGGCCACCTGTAGATTTCCTCTAGCACTGCGGCCTCCTGCCCGGCCTGGGTGGACCGGGTAACCTTCGCCTCCCTCACGGACCGCAGCGGCCCTGGAATCTCGGCCTGGCGCCTGCATGTGTCCTCGGCGAGTAGGAGCTCTCGCTGGACTCGCGTTTCCTCAGAAATGGAACGCGGCAGTGTTTGCGTGGGAGGCACCCTGAACTCAGTGCGCCTGCGCAAACACACTTTGTTGCAGATTCCCCTCCCCCCCCCCAAATCTCTTGGGAGGTCAGGGGTCACACGGGTACTTCCTGCAAAGCCAGCTCCGCCTCAGCCCTCCCGAAGCCAAGCAAGTTAGAGCCCACGCGAGCCGCGTAGCCCGCTCAAATTGACTTTGGCATTGTCGTTTCCCGCCAAAGGGTGTCTGCCCTCGAAGATGGTCCCTCGTTGCCCCTTTCATGGCTCCTCAGTCTGAAAGACTCCGCAAGTGCCGCACTAACTCACCATTGACCGTACTGCCCACCCATCCCGAGTTGTTCAATTACGGGACGGAGCCAGGGGCGTCAGGCCAAGCCATCTCAGCCCTCAGTTTTCCAGCTTGTGGTACATCCCAGAGTTACTTGGCCGAAAGTGCGGAGCACTTATTCCGGATCTCGGCCCACCCTTGTCCCTCTGAAGCACTCAGCCTTGTCCCTCGGGCTGGGGGAGAGTCTTGTCCCTTCTGGAATATTTGTCACTGTCATGATAGGCTGGTCAAGGAGCTGGAACTGTATGGATGACACAGGCCAGATCAGGGAAAGAAGGAGGCATGGGAAACTGCAGCCAGGAATTCATATATAACCACTGGGTTATTACCGTGTTACAAATAACTTCAGTAAAAGCATACAGAAGCCAGGTACCGGTGGTTCCATCCTATAATCCTAGCTACTCGACGGGGTGGGGAGAGGTGAGATCTGAGGGTTAAGTTAGGAGTCAGTGGAGACAAATTGTCCAAGACTCTTAGCAAATATCTGGAAGTGGAAGCATGCCTCAAGCAGTACAGTACCTGCCTTCGAGAATGGAAACTTAAGAGTGCAAAGCCCTGATTCAAGCTCCAGTACTGGCACAGAAACGAAGAAGTACAGAGACACTATTTGCTTTAACTATCGCATATTCTCAGTAACCTACAAGATTTAATAAAAGAGGGAAAAAGGAACAGCAAAGGACAAGCTCTCTCCTTCAGTGTTTACTTGACAAAATAATGTGCTCTGGGACTAAGTCTTGTGACGCTTAGCCTGGAAAAAAAATCTTGAGAAAATGACTCCTCTGGGCACAAAAATTATTTTGAGACAGAAGCATTTATCTCAAGAATCGACACCTATCTTGAGGGAAGCATCTGGCAAAAGCCATAATTTGTTTACAGGTATGTTTGGGTACTCCTATCATTATGTCCCAAATGTTAGTAAACAGGCTGACCTTGAAAATCTTTGCCCTCCACCCCAACTGATCATACACTATGACATCAACAATAACTAAATATTTCAGGAGTCCAAACAAACAGGAACACTTACCCTAAGATATATTAGAGCCAAAACCAAGGTTCTTTTCACCTTAAGGGCCCGTGATGTTACAGCATTCACGCACCACCAGTTACCAGATACATTGGCATCGTCTCTGAGTTATGTGTCATCTTTTTATTTGTCCTTTGCATTGCTTTACTAATTTTTTTTGCCTCTACCTTGATGTTGTCCAAAATTCTTTTTTTTTCTCCCAACAATGTCATAAACTCAGTACTCAAGGGCAAGCAGAGGTGTTTTCCCTTTTGGAGTCCTCCTACCTGGAGCTTTGCACATTTAGGTACTAATTATTTGGCAACTCTGCCAGAAGGAGCATCCTCAGGCCCAGTAACACGCTCATAGAGTGGCAGTGGGCACATAGTCTGTTATTCCACTGGCAGCGTCACTATCTTCCTTAGCTGGCAGTTTTCAGGTCATGGGTATATGGAAGTAGGTCCTGGATCATGGCTATAAGGACAAGGAAGTCACCGAGAATTAGGTACATACCAGGTATTGTTCTTTACGTGTGCAAGGCCCTGAGGTGCTCTCTCTCTCTCTCTCTGCTCTCTTGGGAGCAGTCTTGTAGCTCTCTGACAGGGCTAGAGGTGCCAGGGACCTTCCGTTGGGAATGGTCCTGTGCCTGCTGGCATTCTAAGTGCTGATCTACTTCTGTGTGTGCAAGTGGCTCAACAGGAAAGGTCCAGCCAGAGGCAGGATGCGAGCAACATTGCCTGGGAGGTATGTGGTTCTCTATGAGTGTCACTGGGCCTGGCATGGGTCTTGAGGAGGGATATGCCCAGAAATACATGAGATGATAAGCCTGTTGTCTAGTGACACACAGAATAAGATGTTGAATATAAAAGAAAAGCATACTGAAAATGTTGTGGGATGCCATTAGCTCACATCTGTAATCCTAGTTACTCAGGAGGCTTCAATTTGAGGATTGAAGTTCAAAGCTAGCCAAGCAGGAAAGTCCATGTGGTACTTAGCTCCAATTAAGTAGCAAAAAGCTACAAGTGAAATGTTGCTCAAGTGGTAGAGCACCTGCCTTGAGTGGGAAAAGCTGAGGAAGATTGTGAGGCCCCAAGACCAAGACTCACTACCAGCACAAAAAAGTCCCTTAGATACTTTAATCTTTTTAAGTAATATTAGTAACATGTAGGATAAATAAGAGGAGAGGCACAGCTTTTACACAACCTTATCAACAAAATCATCACCATTATCTTCATATTTCTCTTTGTTTGGACATCATCTTTGTCAGCTCCCCTTTTCTCCTTAACCTTTGCAGCTATAAAAACTTTATTTATGTATTTATTTATTTGCTGGTCCTGGGGTTTGAACTTGGCCTTGGCAATGTCCCTGAGCTTCTTTTTTGATCAAGGCTAGCTCTCTACCACTTGAACTACAGCCCCATTTCTGACTTTTTTGAGTAGTTTATTGAAGATCAGAGACTCATAGAGTTTCCTGCCTTGGCTGGTTTCAAACAGCAATCCTCAGATCTCAGCCACCTGAGTAGCTAGGATTACAGGTGTGAGCCACTGGCTCCCAGAGCTATATTTTAATTTTAATTTACTTTGTTGTCAATCCTCCAGCTTGAACACAGGGCCTGGGCACTGTCCCTGAACTCTTTTTGCTCAAGGCTAGCACTTTACCACTTTGAGCCACAGTAATACTTCCTGTACTACTACTACTACTACTACTACTATTATTATTATTGCCGGTCATGGGGCCTGAACTCTGGGCCTGGGCGCTGTCCCTCAGCTCTTCAGATCAAGGCTAGTACTCTACCATAAGAGCCACAGCACTGCTTCTGGCCTTTTCTGCTTATGTGGTGCTGAGGAATCAAACCCAGGGCCTCATGCATGCAAGGCAAGCACTCTACCACTGCGCCACCTTCCCAAACCTATATTTTTTTAACTTGGAGTTTCTGTTGGCTGCTCTGTACCAGCAAACATTCTAAACATTCTAAATTTGTGTTCATTGTATCTATACTCTGCTCCTGTTCTGGCTCGCTTTCTGTGTAGCATCTACATAGAGAGAAGCTCCAACTTCCTGGAAGAGGGTCTTTAAGGTTGGACCATACATGAATGGAGGACCAGAGGGATGGATGGAAAGGGCATCTGTTCTAGGACTGGAAGACAAGGACAGGTCATCAGTGTAGTCATAGGGGAGGTAATTCACGTTAACACCGGCATCATTTTCTGGGCCAAAAGGGTATATTTACGGTAAGATAGACATGATGGAACCATCTGTGAGCGAAGTGGCACCTCTTGACTATCCAGGACCTAGGTATCCAGGGCCTGTTCAAGCAGGAAATCTAGACCTGGGAGAAATATTTCCTAATTGCTGAGTGTTCTAAAGGCTGATGCATCTTTTTACCCAAAGGGACACTGGACCTTGTAGATGTAGCCAATTTGGAGGGAAACACAATGGAAGAATCCATTATTCTAAGCCCGCTACAGACACCACAGGAGGTCAGGGGAGGATGCTTGGGAGGGAACATCTGTTGCCGAGGCAACCAAGGAGGCGCCGATTGGGTGGAAGCACCCCACGTGGGTGGGGTTGCGCAGGCGCCATGGGCATCACAAGGCACGTGCAGGCTCGAGGAGTGGGGCTTCCTGCTTACACTTCCTGTCGTTGACGAAGCACCAAGATGGCGGGTGTGGTGGTGTCTGTGCTCTAGGGCGCTCTGAGAGAAAGAACAGGACAGCCATGGAGGACGAAGGCCATACCAGCAGCAGCAGCAGCTGTGAATGCACAGATGCTGCAGCTGGTCCAGAAGAAGGCGAGGGCGGCCAGCGAGAGTCCCCAGTGGCCGAAGGGCAGGCGGCCCCCGAGAGGCCAGCATCCGACGGTGGCCAGAGCGACGAGCGTCCCCAGAGCGGCCCCGAAGGCGCGCAAGGCCGCGGTGCCCCGGGCAGCCCCGAGCCCAGTAGCCACGTGGGGGAAAGCGCGGTGGGCGTGCTCGCCATCCCCAGTCCGCGGGGCGAGCGGGCACCCCCTGCTCCAGCCGCCAGTGGAGATGCCGCCACCTCCTTCCTAAGGCCTGGAAGCCGACTCCTGGAGTTGTATCCTTCCCACAGGGCGCGAGGCGGGGGACGGGTCGAGGCTGGGCACAGAAGGCCAGGCAAGGCTGCTGCGGGTGCGGAGAGGAAGTGGACCACAGCCCGAGAAGGAACCGAGGGCAGTGGCGGGTGAACCCCGTGGGCAAAGGCACAGCCAGAGCGGGCATCGCGGAAGGCAGGGGGTGGTCTGTGGCTGACACGACTGCAGGGCGCTGAAGAAGGCCTGGAGCCCTGGGGAGGTGGCTGCGGGGCTCAGGTTGGCCGGAGGGCGCTGCGTGCCAGGCCAGGCCTCTGAAAGGGAAGGGGTCGGGGGCAGGAGCAGAGTGAGCAGTGCGTGGTGCCTTAAGTCTGTCTTCCTCCAGCTCTCTGACTGTGCCCTTTGGATCCCCTCTGGAGGCAGACATGGCCCGCAGGTCCCTGGTCACCTATGCCCAACGTCAGCAAGAGATGGTCCACAAGGAGCTCACAGTGACTGGCAGTGTCTTGACGGTGTCAGTTCTAGCAGAAGCTGGCGCGGGGTAGTGGGAGGCAGTCTGCACTATCGTTGTAATGGGGCGCTGGTTGGGTTTGGTGTTAGCAGATTGGGGTGAGATGCCCTGGATCTCCAGACTTCTCATCTTTTATCCAATGGTTTCTCCTTGTTTTTAGTAGGTGGACGACTGAAGACCCAATTCTCTTCAGAATTTCAGTCAACAGTTTTCTTGACCAGCTTTCCGTGGTGATGAGAAATATTCAACGTCTGGCAGTTCTGGCTAGGCTAAGACGAGGTGGAGGAAACAGGCCTGAACCTTAAGTTTTCTCTGTGGGCAAGTTGTAGGGAATTGCTATTTCAGATAATTCTGCTTATTCTTTGATTTCTGCATTTTGGCTTCATATGTTTTGCTATGTCTTGTTAACCTTCCCCCCTCCCCTCTATCTTGAAAGGAGCAGATGCTTAAATGTTTCTGAAGAAAATAAAATTGGGCTGATGATTTTTGTCTGACTTTTTGCTGTGAGAGCTCCAGATTTTCAAATATTTGCTTTTCCTCTGGATGAGAGGCTCTGGGATTTAGATATAATAGTAGTAAGTACTAGGGAATTGAAAACAGGTTAAGAAATCCAAGAAAATTATTAAAGTTCAGTCATTCAGCACTAAGTACTGATGATATTTTTGAATTGTGTCTTAGTTCTGTAGATATATTTATGTATTAGGTATTTAACAATAACATTTATATTTTTAAAGTTAGCCTTATATTCTTCTCATGAATTTTTATCATTTAATAGACTAACTTTTCAATTTTTACTTTTCTTTAATGATTCTTGTAGAACTGGGGATTGACTCGGAATAACCCTTGGTAAGCAAGAGTCACACACCTACTCCAGATTTTCCATTTTCTAAAAAATATTCTAGTTGCTGGACATCAGTGGCTCATGCTTATAAACCTAGCTACTCATGAGAATGTGATCTAAAGATCACAGTTCAAAGCCAGCCTCTGTGGGGAAGTCCGTGAAATTTTATTTACAATTAAGGACCAAAAAAAAAAAAAAAAAAAAAAAAAGCTAAAAGTGGAGCTGTGGCTCAAGTGGTAGGGTATTAGCCTTGAGGAAAATAGCTCAGGGGTATACCCAGGCCCTGAGTTTAAGCCCTGGGCCGGCACACAGAGTGGCACACCTGTGTACAAAACAGTTTCAGAAAGTTTAGGAAATTTATGTTGTTTTTTTTCGGTCATGGGGCTTGAAGTCTGGGCTTGGGCGCTATCCCTGCACTCTTCAGCTCAAGGGGAACTCTCTACCACTTGAGCCACAGCACCACTTCCAGTTTTCCAGTGGTTAATTGGAGAAAAGAGTCTCATGGACTTTTCTGCTCAGGCTGGCTTTGAACCATGATCCTCAGATCTCAGCCTTCTGAGTAGCTAGGATTATAGGTGTGATCCACCAGCACCTGGCTAAGGAGATTGATGTTGACAATCAATAATATTGTAATTTTTGAACGTTTAGCTTTTTCAAGGTTGAAATTTATCTTGCTAAGAGTACTAATTCCATAGATTTTATTTTGTACTGGTCTTGTGGCTTGTACTCAAGGACTTGCATTCTTGCTTGGCTTTTTCACTCAAGGCCGGTGCTCTACTACCACTTTTTGTTTTGTTGATGGTAGGGCCTGAACTTGGGGTTTGGATGTTATCCCTGGGCTATTTTGCTCAAGGCTAGCACTCTACCACTTTGAGTCACAGCTATACTTCCATTTTTTTTAAGGTGGTTAATTGGAGATGAGTCTCAGACTTTCTTGCCCAGGTTGGCTTTGAACTGTTTCCCTCAGATCTCAGCCTCCTGAGTAGCTAAGATTACAGGTGTGAGCCATCAGCACCCAGCTGCTCTACCGCTTTTTAGTCATACCTCCTCTTCCTGCTTTTTGGCATTTTATTGGATATCAATGTCTCTCAGATTTCTATATCTGGCTTCCAACCATGTTCTCGAGTTCTCGGCCCTCCTGGATAGCTAGGATTATAGATTTGAGCCATCAGTGCCCAGGTGTACTCTTTTATTCATTGCATTTCTTGACCTATAACATACTATTGCTTTTCTGTGCCTTCCCTGAGAATTCTTTTGTCTACAAAGTCTTGCCTCAACTGGGTTGTTTTCTTGCCAATATCTAAAAACTTACTTTATATGAGATGTATAACAACAGAGAAATACCAGATGAGGAATTTTCTTACTTACTGTAGTTCTTTCAGATTAGTGAAGGAAGCTACTGTGTTAGTTGGTTGTGATGGGGAAAGGGGTGATTGGCTGGTTCAAACTTTTTTGTGCTAATTCAGGGGCTTAAACTCAGTTTCTGTACTCATGCAAAAAACTTCTAGTTTTTCATTTTGGTGATTGATCAGAGATGGAGTCTCACACATTTTTCTGCCCAGTCTGGTTTTGAATCACCATCTTTCTGGTCTCAGCCACTTGAATAGGTGGCATTCCAGGTGTGAGCTACTGGTGCCAATCTGGATCACTCCTAAATACCTTGTATAATGGAGTATTGCTAAACTTAAAAAAGTTAGATTTAGTAACTTTTGTAGATTCTTTTTTTTTGGGGGGGGGGTCTGGTCGTAGGGCCTGAACTCTGGGCCTGGGAACTGTCCCTCAGCTCTTCAGCTCAAGGCTAGTGCTCTACCACTTGAGCCACAGTGCCACTTCTGGCTTTTTTCTTTTTTGTTTACGTGGTGCCGAGGAATCAAACCCTGGGCCTCATGCATGCAAAGCAAACGCTCTACCACTGAGCCACCTTCCCAGCCCTGTAGATTCTTTGAAAATTTCCTGTAGAGATAACTGTTAGATGCATAAATTGATGCAGTTTTACTTCTGTTTTTTTCCAGTTGAATCCCCTTTATTTATAGTTTCTTTCTTCATTATGATTTGGACTTTCCCACTGCTTATATCCCTGGTACTTTTGGATTGGACATCAGACTCCTATTATTACACTTCCCAATTTCTCCCAGTGCTATGGGTTTCCACCCTCGCAATTGCGGAGAGTCATTAGTATCTGTTCTCTTTGTAGACTTGGCAGAGTTAGCATCTGTGATTTAAATGTAAAGAGTAAGTCCCTAGGCTCAGATAGTATCCTTATAAACTATTAACCACTTGTGATCTGTTGGATACTCTAGCTAGGCTCTCTGTCTGTTTCTTCTTCCAGGCATGCAGACTACAGCCACACACATTCTCTGGTCCTTTCCTAAACTCTGGCTATCCACCAGCTGCTACCAGAAAGTTCTTTCTCAGGCTAGGGAGCAAGACCTCCTTTGTTTCTCGTCTCCCAGAGTTCTCTGCCCCTTGCTGTATGACAGCCAGTTTCTCTGCCTTCCACATCTCACATAATTTGTCTGCATAGAGGGCTGTTCTTTCATGCTCTCTCAGGTTCCCGTACCTCCATTTGCATGCAGTGTCCCTTTGCAGAACTTGGTGAGTCCTGACAGTAGGAGCTGGAGGAAGAGAGACACTGTGCAAGATGCTGCTGCTGGTAATGTGAGGAAGTAAAGGGTGCCATCTGACCACATATGACAGCGGCAGTGAGGCTCTGGTTCTTTTTCTTTGTCTCCTTCCCTCCATGCCACTATCTCAGTTCCATTTCTTTTTCTTTTATTTCTTGATTCATATTTTATAGACCCCTTTTTATTGGTAGCTAAGTGAGAAGTATCTCTTTTACAACCTTACCCACTCTGCTTCCCCTCAACATTCTCTGATCCTCATAGTTCTAGTAAATTCTATTCATTTTGAGGAATTCTCCCCATTCCCTCCCCCACCGCTCCGTCCAGGCCTTGTTTTATCCTTTTGGCTTAGGTTCTGAGAAATATTGGCTTGGTGAGAAATATTTTAAACCACCTCTAACCCCCCATTCATAAAGCACCTCTCTTAATCTCTGTCCCCTTCCATCATACTCATTCATTCTAAGCTGACTGACTGCAAAAGTGACATCCTGGGTTTTTTCTTTGTCTAGAGCTGGTTTGCAGTTGTTTTTTTTTTTTTTTTTTGGTCCAGTCGTGGGGCCTGAACTCTGGGCCTGGGCGCTGTCCCTCAGCTCTTCAGCTCAAGGCTAGCGCTCTACCACTTGAGCCATAGTGCCACTTTCGGCTTATTTTTCTGCTTATGTGGTGCTGAGGAATCGAACCCAGGGCCTCATGCATGCAAGGCAAGAGCTCTACCACTGAACCACCTTCCCAGCCTGCAGTTTTTTTTATGTCAAATACTTCATTAGTCTTTAATTATTTTTGTGTTAACTCATGGTTATTAAATCAGTCTCCTTTAGTGTGCTGTTAAGAAGTTGAGCAGATGCATGCAGTTCTACACCACCATCACAATCTCCTGGCCCCTTGAATTGACTTCTAAGGCTGCCATGTTGCCTTTTACTCCAAATCTGGTCTCTGCACTTTTCTGTTCTGAACCCTCCTCCAATGGGCTTCCCTCTTACTGTGTCAAAGCCAAATTCCTGGTGCTGGTGTGGAGCTTGAGTAATCGAGGGTTTGCTTCACATGCCTGAGAACTGGGATTTTATCCCCAGTCCCCCCCCCACCCCCCAAACATGCGTGTACACATGCACACTGGGTTCAAGTCCTTTCAGAGGCCTGTAGTATCCAGGGCAATCAGGCCTCTTTCCTTCTTGCCTCCTTCCCTCTACCCTCATTGTTAGTCTGAGAAGGCCCCATAAGACTCTCACTCTTTATGAAATCCACAAGGCCCACTGCTTTGGGGTTTTTGCACTGTCCTTTCCCTTTCTGGAGCTCTCTGTTCCCTAGCTTTCCTCTTGACTCATTGAAATGCCACCTTCATTAAGACTTTCTGGGCCACCCTATTTTAAATCACAGCAGCATTACTTAACAAGTGTAGGGCCAAGCTTTAGGTAGGTGCACCCCAGTGGGAGCTACAGACTACAGTCAGGGAATGTCAGGGTACTCTTTAGAAGTGTGGACAGAGCTGAAGATACAAGAGGGTCTGGAACATATGCTATGTTTTATATCTTCACAGCACCTCTCCTCTTTCCACAGTAAGTATGGATGGAAGGG